CCTTCCTTCACCCCACTTCTCCCAAATCCAGTAACTAAAGGCTGAAGGCCTGGTTGGTGGCCGTCAGTCAGCCCCAACAAATCTTGCCATGTGGTTTGCCAGGACATCTGCCCTTGCTACCACCCTGGAGTTCCCAGGTGGGTACCAGCAGAGCCAGTCCCTACAACATTAGCTATAATCTTAATAAAGAAAAAGGAAGACATTTTCAGTACATATTTAAAATCCTTAAGCTGATTGTTCTTTTTATTGATTTGTAACTTCTGATCTAAGCATTGTTCTTGCTGCAGTACAACATATTTGAAACAAATTCCTTAACCTCCTTTTCAAATTGCCTTCATTGCCTCTCATTTTAAAAACCCAATCTTGATCATTTTGAAATCTGCCAAAGTGAATATATCATAGTTCTGTGTGCTCCATAAGATCTTTTATGCTAAATCTTAAATGCAAAGTCTTTTCAGTTTATAAAAATACTTGGTGGAAAGGGTGCAGCTGGGCTGGGTATAAGTGCTGGTATTTCTCCCACTGCAAGATAAAAAAAAACAGTTTTGCCTTGAGTGACAAGCCCAAAGCTAACAGGTTAGTTTCTTCTACTTTCAACTAATCCCTGGTAGAGGACCGAATTTCATTCTTATCAAGGACAAAATTATCTCTGATCTGCAGTACATCCTCTGTTCAGGCCTCAGCGTTTATTTCTCACGTGTGATTGGTTTTGTGAAATAAAGTTTTCCTGTGGAATACAGGTAAAGAGCAAACAGCGGAGACCAGTGCTCCAAGTCAGAGCTCCACAGTGAGGCTCAGAGCATTTTGTTAACTACTGTTCTCTTAACTATTGCTTACATTAAAGCTACTAGCAGTTATGCTTTTGTACAGTGACACATCCCTAATGTGACCATTCAAACTGAAGTTTGTTATCCTCCTTTCTCAAGAAATGCTATCATATTCACACCTTAGAGAAATTTGCTAATAGCTGCACATTGTTTAAAAGTGATTTCTTGGGTTTTTGTTTTTCCTGACTTATCTTCCTAGACTGATCCTGTTGAGAGCACACATGTATGGAATCCGAATGTCAAGTTTTACATCCAGTCAAGGTCCACATGTAGTGAAGCTGAGTCACTTAAGGTGCCTCGTGGGAGTCTTTTGCTCCTCAGCTGCTCACCTGTGTCAGAAGAGAGGGAATTGCAGAAACAAGTGAACCTACCTCTCTTCTTTCAGTCAAATACATTGTATAATAAATCACAGTATATTGGAGATCATTACATTTGACTGACAGTGTAAATAGGACTATAAAACTTATGTAGAAAATTGTCCCGCAAAACTCAACCTGAAGTAGAAAAAAAATTTAATTATAAAGGTAGTCCTTATTTTACGTAGAGAGCTGTGTGTAACAGAGGACAGTTATGTAAATGTCAGAATTATCAGATACAAACTTAAGCACATGGCAGTGCAGGTGCCATTCTCATATTTATTTCTTCTACTAAATCTAATAAGATATGACATAACTGTTACTTCCTAAGCAGAACTTAAAATTGCCACTACTGGCAACTGAAGAGCTAACTCTAACCGCTAGATCAGCAACGGCATCCAACTAAATCATGGCTTTTAATAGCACAGAAACAGTGTTGTTTTTGTACCTTATGTCGATCAATGGTTTTAAACAGCCAGCTGGCCAGTTTTCTCAACAGAGATCATTTTCTCACCAAGTCAGAAGGATGTGTTACACCTCCGTAATGCCCGCCTGCCTTAAGACGCACTTCGTTTACTCAGCATTGCAGTACTGGCACAGCTCCTTCTTTTCCCACTTTATCTCCCAAGCTGTATCTAGCATTCCTGTAGAAGCATATTGTTCTGAGTGGAAAGCTGTCTTTTCACCAGCAAAAGTGTGAATTGTAGTAAGATTCTGACTTGGTTTTTTTCAGCCCTGTGATGGGCTACCTTAGAGTGGTCAAGTTGATGAGACCCTCTGCTTTTTTTTTATCACTGTTTTAATATTTTTACTCCATACATTTTTTAAAAATATTGAAATATTTCAAGCATACAAAGAATAATATAAGGACCCCACATAACCACCATTCATAGATTTAACACACATGAACATTTTACCTTTTTTTCAAGTTTATATTAGAAGAAAAATTCAAGTATTTCAGACAATTGAAACACCCTTCCTTATACCATTTACCTCTCTCCTTTCCCAGACATCTAAATACCCTGAAATTGGTGTATATCCTCTCTTCCTTGGTTTTATGTTTTTATTCCATTTATATCCATAAACAATATGCAGTAACATTTGTTGTATTTTTAAATTTTACACAAAGATTATCTGTATGTTTTTGTAACTTCTTTCACTCAGCATTATTCTTTTGGGGTTTACTCATCCAGATACATAACCTTTTAGTTCATTTACTGTAACTGTTACATATTATTTCATTGACAACTACTAACCCATTCTCCTATTGTTGGATATTTAGGTTGTTTCCAATTTTTTGTTACTACTGTCAGTACTGAACATCCTAATAGTTACCTGTTTTGGCAAATGTTCAGTTTTTTAGCATTCATACTTAGAAGTGGGATTTCTGGGTTGTGTGATATATGCATTTTCACCTTTACCTAGCTTTTGCCAAATTATTTTCCACAGTAGTTGAATCAGTTTTCACTCCCACCAGGAGTGTGTGAGAGTTCTCCATTTCCCACATCCTCACCAACCTTTGGTACTGTCAGACATTAACTTTTCTCAACTTAATGGGTATGTAGTAGCATTTTTATTTTAATTGGCATTTTTCTGATTTCAGGTGATATTCAGCATCTTTTTATATGCTTATTGGCTATTGGTGATTTGCCTGTTTCATGTCTTTTGTCCATTGTTCTACTGAATTATTTTTCTAATTGCTTTGTAAGTGTTCTTTATTCGTGGATACTAATGTCAACTGGCTAAGTGCAATGCAAATGTTTTCTTCCGGTTTGTGACTTATTTTTAAGTATTACTTGTGGTGTCTTTGCCTTGCAATGCTTTTTATTTTAAAATAGCCATATTTATCAATCTTTTCCTTTATGACTTCTGCTTTTTATGCCTTTTAAAACAACTCTTCCCTGTGCAGCAGTTGTAAAGATTTTCTTTCATATTTTCTGATTAAAGTTTTAATATTTTCCTTTTACATGTTTAGGGCCTTAAACTGAAGTTTATTGTTATATTACTACTGGGAATGCAGTTCTGATCTGTTTTTCTCACATGAACAACCAACTCTCCTATATCTTCACCATTGATTTATAATGCTACCTCTGCTTTATATAAGTGTGTGTGTTCAGGGGATCATTCTCTTTTTCCATTGTTCTTTTTTAAATTCCTGCATGGACATCATGTTGTCATAGTTACAACAATAGCCCTGAAATAATTCGTAATACCTGTTATAGTCAGCCATGCCCACCCTCCTTATTCTTCTTCCCTTTCCTCTTGACCCTTTAGTTTTACATAGAACTTGTAAGATGAGCTTGGCAAGTCCCAGGTGGGGCTTCTGATTGTAATTGCATTGAATTTATAGATTTATATGAGAATAATCGACAGCTTTGTGATATTGGGTCTTTCCATCTATGAATATGGTACACATATTATTTAGATAATCATTTACATCCTTCAATAAAGCTTCATTATTTTCTTCATGAATATACTCCATATTCTTTGTTAGAGTTGGTCCTAGGTACCTTTAGGCTTTTGTTGCTATGTGGGGTGGGATCTTTTTAAAATATATATTCTTATTAGGCAGGGCTGGTGTTTATGAACTCTGTTGATCTTCTGTCCAGCACCCTTGCTTAACTCCTTTTAATTCTGATAACTTCTCTTGGACTTACTATGTAAATTATAGTGACAATTTTGTTTCCTATGAATTGTTTTTTTGTTAACTTTTAAATAGGTCTTCAGTGTTCCTCTAAATGTTAAATTATAAATTAGATTCAAAACTTTTTTCAAGCCATGTAAAAGTAAAGTAAATTTAAATTAGAACTAAACTCACAGTTAATTAGAAAACTCTAACAAGCTCAACTCAATTCCATTTTAAGGCTATAACACATGTAAAATATCCTGCTTTCAGAGGTTATATAGTAACAAAAACGAGGGACCATCCATTTTTAAAAAATATTTTAGAATATTCTGTAACTATACAAAACTAGCTTTTTCCTCTTGTTTGCTTGTTGAACATCCTAAAAGAAGTAATTCTTTGTGTCTTTTTTATAATTTGCTAATTAAGTGATGTCTCTTTTTTTCCACAGTAACATCCAGTAAAATCATTGGTTCCTTTCATCCAAAGAAATATCTTAGATGAATAACCTATAAACTAAGAATATGGCTTGTAACTAAATTTGTACATAAGTTTTTAATTCCAATAATATTAAATAATCTAGTTCCTTTCTTTGGAAATTTATTTCTGCACAAAAATCCTACTAACAACCAACTAGTAGTGCTCTCTCTCTCTCTCTCTCTCTCTTTCTCTCTCTCTCTCTCTCTGTCCCTCTCTCCCTCTTGCTCCACCCTCTCTCCATACACACAGATCCACAGAATTGTGTTCCATATATGTAATATGTATTCTGTATATAGAAGTCAAGGAGTTAAAAATCTTCTAAATGTTTTGATTACAAACCTTGCTAAAAACGTCCCCAGATACCTTTTAGAATTAATACGGCATTTTCAGATGAACTTGAAAGTTAATACCCTTATTTTATGTAAGCTATATACTATGACTTCTTTGTTATCTTCTGTGGATTCTTTTTTCCAAATTATTTAGTTTTAAATTCCCAGACTGAAGTAACTTTTGCTAATTGAATAAATATTTTATTTGTAGACATTACAGGCAGAACTTTAAATTATCAACACTGAGAATTTTAGTTTCATTGAGATATTTTTTGCCTTACTGATGTTTGATTTGGCTTTATTTACTTCAGTTTATTTCTGGTGTTGTTTGAAATAGATAAGAGTGTTTCATAACATTCATTTCCTTTTTTGCCCCTGGATTCAGATTGTAGACTCTACTCCTCTTCCAGTTCACACACCAACCTTAAGGAAAAAGGGATGCCCTGGTTCAACTGGCTTTCCACCTAAGGTACTCAATCTAGTTATAAGCACAGTGTGTTCTGGGGGGAAAAAAATGAGAATGGATTTTTTTCTGCTTTTGTATTTGCTTTGATTTCTGCTGTTGGTTTCCTCAAAATAATCAGCACTGAGAAAGGTAGAGAGAGTGTACAAAGTTTGTTTTGTTTTGCTTCCATCTTCTTAAATTCAACTTTTTGAAGTCTGTTACAGTAGTAGTAGTGCTTATAGGATGTATTGTAAGGAGGGCATTAAGTTGAGGCCACTTTTGGAAAAACCCAAGATTAAAATTAATAAACCCACTGAGAAAGAGAAAGACTTGAAGCCATAAAAACTCCTAAAATTAAACATAGGCAGTAAGCTTCTTGACATCAGTATTGGAATTAATTTTTTGATTTGACATTAAAAGCAAAGACAAAAATAAACAAGTGAGATTACATCATACTAAAAAGCTTCACAAAAAAGAAAACCAACAATAAAATGAAGAGACAATCAGCAGAATGGGAGAGAACAAGTACATGAAAAGGTGCTCAACATCAACTAATCATCAGGGAAATGCAAATCAAAACCACAGTGAGCTGTCACCTCACACCTGTTAGAATAGCTATCATCCAAAAGACAAGAGACAACAAAAGTTGGCAAGGACTTGGAGAAAAGAGAACCCTTGTGCACTGGGGATGGAAATGTAAATTAGCCACTATGGAAAACGATACAGAAATTCCTCAAAAAATTAAAAATAGAGCTACTGTATAATCCAGCACTTATACTTCTGGGTACTCTTTCAAAGGAAATCACTCTTTTGAAGAGGTATCTGCACCCCCATGTTCACTGCAGAATCACTTAAAATAGTGATGGCATGGGAACAACCTTAGTGTCTGTCAGCAGATGAATGGATAAAGAAGAACGTGGCACATGTCCACAGTGGAATACTGTATGACTATAAAAATGGAAGGAAGTCCTCCATTTTGATAATAGATGAGCTTCAAGGGCATTATGCTAAATGAAATAAGTCAAAGACAAGTGCTGTATGATCTCACTTAAATGGAATCTAAAAAATCCAAACTCAAAGAAACAGAGATCATATTGATGGTTGCCAGAGGCAGGGGTCAGGGGCTAGGGAAATGGATGAAGGTGATCAAAAGGTACAAACATCTGCTTAAGAGGTAAATAAGTTCTGGGGATGAATGTAAAACATGGTGACTATACTAAACAATATTGTATTATGTATTTGAAACTTGCTTAGAGAGGAGATCTTAAACATTCTCATCACAAGAAAATTTCTTACTATGTGAGGTGATGGATGTTATCTTATTTTGGTAATCATTTTGCAGTGTATACATGTATTGAGTCATGTTGCATACCTTCAATACAATGTCATATGTCAATTATATCTCAATAAAACTAGAAGAAAAAAATACAGAAAATACTCTTGGAGAAAGATACAAAGCCAAGAAGCCACTATGAAAGATTTGGGAAACAGGATGAACAGGTATCCTAGAGGATTTTACTGTGGTCTGTAAAAGCAAGGACACTCTACTCTACAAAAATTGTAGAAATAGAAAATGTAAATTGAGAACAATCCAGAATTGATCTAAATACAGACACAGCATGGGTGAGTGTAAGGATCGGGTGAAGTGAACATGCTTAAGTATTTGTCTTATGGGGGGAGAAATTGCAGAGACAATATGGCATGGTAGTTACCATGGTGAATTCTCAGCCATTAGCAATTTTCCTAATTGCTACCTCAGCTCCATCATGTACTGGCTGTGTGACTTGAGTAAGTTACTTACCTTTTTCTCCTTCCATTTCCTCATCAAAAAATGAAGATAATAATAGTACCTGTCTCATTGGATTCTTCTGAATTTTAAACATACTATCTGCAAAAAATTTAGAACAGTGCCTGACATAACAGTATCATATAAATGTTAAATAAGTATTGAGAACTTGATAAGGAAGGTAAGCACAAATATGGATCTTAACAAGTTGAAGGGAAGACTAGCAAATAAAGGTATAACTTTTATATCCTCAGAAGGAAATACTGTCCAATGAATGGAGGCAAGAAAGGAAAAAGAGAAGAAAGGAAAGCATGGTGACTTGATACTCTAAACTATAATAGACTGTCTCAAATCTTAGTGGCTTCAAAAGAAACCTTTTATTATGCTTATGATTTTGTGGGTATGAACTCTCAAATGGAGAGTTCTCACTAAGAGTCACCCATGTAGGTATAGCCAGGGATCATCTGAGGCCCCAGTTGTCAGAAGGTTTAACTGGACATGGACTGGATGTGCAAGATGGCTCACTCCCATGACAGGCAGTTGATGCAGGCTGTTGACAGCTATGCAGGGTCGCTGTAGCATGCCAGTCTCAGTCCTATTACATGGCAGCTGGTTTCCTCTATTCTGAGCATACCAAGAGAACTAGGTAAAAGCTGCATGGCTTAGAACAAAGGTTTACAGAAAGGTAGAAAATACAGAGAAGTAGAAGTCACAGATATATACCATAAAATGAAGATCAAGGTGCAAAACATCAAAAGACATCAGAGAGGAAGTTGTATACTAGTAAAGGGAGTAATATATAAAAGAAGACAGAGTGATCATGAATACGTGTGGACCTAACAGTAAAGCCTGAGGCTGTATAAAGCAAGAACTAAGGAGCAGGGAGAGAAGCAGGTAATCTTAATATACACCTATCAGACAAACAGGATAGCATGGGAAAATGCAAAGCAGAGGATAAAGGGTTACCATCTGCATACACCAAGAGCTTTTATAAATACAGGAATAAACTGTACAATAGTTAACTGGCCAAAAGCCAGAAATAAGCAGATGAAAAATAAAAATGACTGATAAATTGAAGAGATGCTCAAGCTTATAGAAGTTGAGGAAAAGCAAATGAAAGTAATAATAAACTTATCCCTTTACATTTGTGACATACATACCCCCATTATCAGTAGGATACTATGGCACATTATAGGTAGAAATGTGAATAAGCAATCTAAAAACACTGATTAAAAATACATGTCAGTGCATCTTCAGAATCCAGTGATTAGAGGATTCTTGATTGCAGTGGCAGCATAGATTTTGAATCTCACTGAATCTCCCCGTAAAAACACACAGACCAACTGGGTAGGACAGCAAACCTAAATAACAACATACACACACAAATAAGACCTAAACAATATTACAAGAGATTTTCCCACAAAGTGAAAGGAAGAAAACACCATTTACAAGACTTAGACGGTGTTAAAAATTGTGGTAGAGAAAGTGGTGGTTAAGTGGAGGGTTTGTGGTGATCCTAAGGCCCAGAAAATCACCAAATCACAATCCTCTTCTGCTGGCCAGTCCTGAGAACAGCAGTAGAGACTGGAATAGATTTATGCATGCTCTGTTCTCAGATATCTGAGTGTAAGGGGGATGGGGCTAAGAGCACCTGACAGTGCTGGTGTTAAAGATGCTCAAGGCTAGAAAATCAGAGCACCCTTCCAGAGGCAAGCCCTACTCAAAGGAGAAGCAGCTGGCAGTAGACAAAGAATTGAGTGAGACAGGAAAGAAAGGAAAAATTCCAGATATTAAGAAGAGGGGAGGAAGATCTCAGAAAGTCTGAGGTCATTTTCTGTCATTTTATGAAAAGAATAGAAAAAGGAGTCTAGAGCCATGGAGCTAGAAAAGCAGTCCTTGATGACTCCACTCTCAGAAAAGCACAGGAAAACTCATTTCACTTAAAAATGAGAAAGTGAGATGATTACAGTCAAATCTCATACAAGGAAAGAGAATAAAGAACAGTGTTTCCTAACAAAAAATGAAAGTGTGCCAGAAAGATATATATACATGACCAAGAAAAACTACAATCAATATTTTAAAAGAAAGCAAGAAAATGATGGAAGTTGTAAAATAATAAAAATTAGAAATAGGAACCTCAGAAATGAGTATGTTGGAGAAAAGATGTGAAAAGAGGTGAGAGAAATCAGAAAAAAGTTAGAATTAAAATGAAATATACTTTCAGAAATATAGATTAACCTATAAGAAATCAAAAGTAAATAAGCTCAACAGATGACCTATAAGAAACAGAAAATATAAGGAGGAAAGTTTTTTTTAATCAAGAAATGAGGAAAGAAGTAAGAAGGAATTGAGAAAAGTGATGGATAGAAAAAAAGGCAGAGGAAGACCAGAGTATGCTTCTTCACTCACTGAGTAATAATTCCAAGGTCATAATACCTTAAACATTAAATGTAAATTCCAACCCAAAACTGTTCTATAACAATACTGGGAAAATGAAGGGAGTAGATGATACAGCAATGCTTAATCCTTCCCCACCATAATAGGAAGTCAATAGATAATATCTTAAATCAAGAAATAGCAGTAGAGGCTCTTTTTTGGGCAGAAATATGAAAATAAGGAAGTGAATAAGTAAAACAATTCAAAGAAACTGCTGCTAGGAAGGACAACTTGGGGCACAGGGGTACTTCTGCTTTTCTTATAACATTATGATGCTACTTTATTTTTTAAACTATATATATTAATTTGATTTTAAAAATTAAAAACATGCATAGAAAATGAAGGAGAATTTCTTTGTAACTGGGCAATGATGACAAGGTGAAAATATTGCTAGACTTTAATGCATCAAAATTATGTCTGTACCATGAAAGCATTGTTAATAGGTGGTTACTAGGTGATGACAGTCTAGTAGAGAATATTGGCAAGGTTTAACACCAATTAAGGGATTAATTTCTAGAATACATAAGAAACTCCTATAACTCCATATGAAGAAGACTTGAAATCCAGTTGAAAAATTGGCAAATGAAATGATATGAATAAATGATTCACAGAAAAGGAAATCCTAGTGGACAACAATATGTGAAGAAATGTCCAACCTCATTAATAACTGGGGAAATGAAAATATAAAATAATCATTTTTTAATTATTATCACTTCATACCTACAGATTGCCAAAAATTAGGTAAGATAACACTAAGGCTGTGAAGAAACGGGCATCTTCACACTCAGCTAGTGGAAGTCTAAAGAGGTACAGCTCTGAGAGCAACCTGGCAGTAAGAGCTGACACACTACACGTCCCGGCAATCTCGGCCTTTATCCAGGTCCACCAGGCAACGGGCTGAAGACGCTTGCTGCTGCTCGTGATGGCAGGGAGCCAGGAATAGGGAAATGGCTGTTAAAGCATGGCTGATGGGTAACAGAACCACATTTATATAATTTAGAAACACCTCAGACTCTGATTTATAAGGACATAGACATATCCAAGGACCTGTGTAAATCATGATGGGTTGGGGAAAAACCTAGGGGTGGATCACCAAGGTTGAATGGAAAAATATAATAAGACAAAATAAAGCTAGAGCAGGGCCTCCACTAGGCTCTGGTGATAATATTTCAGAGACTACTTACTAACTCAACTTTGTGCACCTAATGTCCCTCCCCCCAAATAAAATAAGATTTACTTCATGTTTTTTAGAAGATGAAGAAGTGAATCTACAGTTATCTCAAAATAAAGTGTTTGTATGAGAAAGACTCCTTGTCACTCATCAGTGGTAAAATTTTAATTACCTACAACCAGTTTTTAAGCCTTCACCAGGAGTCCTAATTGGTTCTACTTTGTTCCCCGTGTTCTATTAAAAATGTTTTATCTTTCACTGAGTAGCTTGAAGTTTGAAACAAACAAAAATGGGTAGAAGAGAACCCTTCTTTCTATCCTCCTCTTTAAATTTCAAGGGTATAATTAGTTCTTACTCCAAAGTATCATGTAATCTAAAACTCTAATTTGGGGCTGTACTTTAGATGTATGCCTCTTTTACTAGACATTTTTTTCTTTCCTTTTGTTGCTGCTCCTCCAATTCCCTAGTATTACAAATCAAATACTGACCAGGAGGCAGGAAAAGGGATCTTAAGAAGATCAGTCCTAACCTAGAGCTTAGGACTAAATTCATGTATCAGTTAATTTGGAGAGAAAAAGTATGTTCCAGAAAGCTAAAGTCTACATTGGATTGCCACCATTAGATCAGACAAGACTTAGAGAGCTTTAACTCCTCCTGGGTTTTCAATAAGAAATTTCAGGCTGCCATCTGTCTCTAGAATAATATGTGTGTATTTTTGCCTGCTCAAGTGTCTTCCTGCTGCCATGGGAGGAAACAGATTTGTTCTTGGTCCCAGGAAATCAAATACATAATTTACAGTAGGGATAAGAATTTTAAGTTACTCTTTGTTCTTCCTGAGAAGGTATAAAAGCATAGTAAATGTCTATTATTTGTAAAGGTATAAATATGCAAAATTTCACTTAACTCTTTGCTAAAGAATAACTTAAGAATATATAAAATTCTTAATGTCAAAATTTATAAGCAAAAAAAAGTTAGTTTCTAACTTTTCAAAGCATTTAAGAGAAGTTTATTATTATTTAACTTATTTTTAGCATAACCCAGCTCCATATTGCCTAATAAATATATTTAGTGAGGATAAATTATAGAAAGATGTGATAAGAAATGAATTCTATTTAGAAAAAATTCCAGTAGCTGGTATGGGATACAGAGATTCACATTATGAAACTCTTTTAAATAATTAATATGTATGTTTTTTTCAATTTGTTTTGCAGCGCAAGACTCATCAGTTTTTTGTTAAATCTTTTATGACACCCACCAAATGTCATCAGTGTACTTCTTTGATGGTGGGTTTGATAAGACAGGGATGTTCCTGTGAAGGTAAGAACAAAATGGTAAGAAAATGTGACTTTAGAGTCCTAACATTTGCTATCTAAATTGTAATAAAAAAATTTTATTCTCTTTAAAAGGCATATAAGTATTTGTTTTACTTTGTCGTTTGCTTTCTTTTGAATAATTGGAATAGAGACAGTAAACTGAGCACCTTGCTGCCATTTGTTGAATGTTGGTAAAACTAGGCAGGTTTCAGGGGAGCTATATTTAAATGTGTTTCATTCATCTTTGTTTCATTATTCAGTTGAATCTGTGGCCCCAAAAAACCATTAACCTATATACAGAAGACATGAAAGTTATCCTTGAGTCTGTCATTTAATTTTAACTTGTTGAATTTATTAGAGAAATTATTCTTGGAAAGCAGGTAGTGCAGTATCTTTCAGAAATACTAAATATCTGTCACTATGCTTCAAAAGATATTTTATTCCTAGTATTGATAGCAGAGATTTTCCCTACCATTCACTGATTGATTGATTCATCCATCTCATGTTCATGGCACATCTGCTCTGTGCTCCTAGGCAGTAGGAATGCAGTGTGGCTGGGTTAAGGGACAAGGAGCCTACCCTCGTGGAGCTCACACTTTGAGAGATGGGAGGTCAGGATCATCTGAACAGAAAACAAACTATATCTGTTTGAGCACCACTTTATTTCTCCTAAAACATCTGAAATGAAAATGATTTAAATTATAACTGGATATATTGTTTGTGAATATTTTAGAAATACACTTTTTTATCAAATGGGACTTTTCCCTATAACAATGCCTTATATATAATTTACTGGTATATTGTATGAAAAAGAAGAAAACAATTGCCAATTCAAATTCTAACATTAGTTTCCATTTCTTAGTTCTTAGGGTTGGAAGGAACTCTGAAGGAGAGGTGGTCAGTGTCCATCCCTTTGTAGAATACACTTGCAGTTAGCCTGTTTTTGAATACTTTGAGTAAGGGGAAGTGAATAGCATTTTAAGGCAATGCCTTCTATGTGTAGTTAGTTCTCACAACCAAAGTGGACACTCCAGATTACATTATCTTAACTAGTCCCTTAGATGGTTGAGTTTAGAATCAAGGAAAATGGTAAGGGTTGAAAAGTAGAGATTTGAAGCGTGTGAATGTATGAAGTGATAATATAAATGCCATTATCCAGGAAACACATGTAGATTGAAACAGAACAAGTGTAAGGATAGAGCCTTGGGAATGGTTAGGGGAGGTGAAGGTAAAAACTAGCAAAGGCATCTGGGAAAGGAATGGCTTGTATCATTGAGCAGAAGGTGTGACTGAAGCCACCAGGGGAGAGGTTTGTCATTGTTAAGCCTTGTCTCATTTGGGAACTTAGCCAGTACTCATAAATGTCATTTCATTCTAAATGGCAGGATCCTAAACAACTACTCATGCATCAGGAATCATTTGCAATTCCTTGGTAGGGACTTCTGAGAGCTTCCCAGACTGTTGTCCATTCCAGAGTCATACCATGAAATTGCACCTATCTTTTCTTCAAACCCTTTGACTCCTACTCTGTAAAGCTGTGGGGACATATTAGACAATGGCCAGGCTTTCATAAATGTTATGATAATGTGGTTACAACTTCTAAAGATTGCTGTCATTTTTAGTTCTTTCTGGTAGATTGATATCAGACACAGTATAGGATAATTATTTTTATTGCTTCTATTAACCTTTGTAGATGATATTTTTGCCTATTAATAAAACAAATATATAACTTACTAGACACTCCACTTATAAGTGAGATGTCCTATAGAAGTTTGGATATTTTTGACTGTCTGTACTAGTCTACCTTGCCTCAGTTAGCTTCGTAAAATCCATCAGTGTGTGTATAACCCATTTCCCCTTGTGTATGTATTTTCAAAATTACATCCTTTCAGTTCCTTTCTTATTCTTCCCCAGATATTCTCCAGGCTCCACCCTTGGAATAGAATTGTTTGAATAGATATTCTCAGTCTGTAACTCCTCCCAATAAGCTGATTTGTCTTAAATATTTTAACCTTTAATTCTCACTTAACCAAGTCTCAGTGAAACTTTTGTTTTTATTTATCGTTTGTCTTAGAATCTCCAGTTCATTTTGTGAGTATCAACTAGAGGTATCAGGGCAGTATTCTTACTAGTAAGGTATGCAGGCTCTGAGCCAGGCTGCCTGGGTTTGAATCCTAGCAATGCCACTTTGGAGTCCTGTGACCCAGAGTGAGTCATATATGAATGGGGGTGATTGCACTTCTGTTAGATTGTCACATAAAAATTTAAAAACATTTAATAAAGGTTACTATTATTATTTTAGTAGTTTAGGCATATTTATATTAATAATTCCTAAAATCTACCTTAATTTATACCTTTTTAATCATTTAACAATTCCATTTCCAAAAAGAGGGATTGGTAGTTTGCCAGATTGGTAGTTAGTGACTCTTGCCAGAGAAATTTCAGGGCAGATACCAAGTTGCAGTGAGAAGTGTTAGAACTCCAGATACTACTCTTTTAGGAATTCCAAGTTCAAATCAACCATTTCATTCACAAGCTCAGATTTTTTTGTGTGTGTGTTTGCTTCTCTTGATCACTAATGTTAACACAGAATAATAATATTACAATAATAAAAGTATTTACCACTGCTCATTGAAATTCTTATTGGTAAGCAAATGAATTTGCTCTTCAAGTGACAACACGGCTGTTTAAAATGAAATCAGAGATAAGCATTCTTCTGACATAGTGCCTTGCACATGAGTGCTCAGTGAATTTTCTTGACTGAATTTTAATCGAACATTGTTTTTTTTTCCCCTTCAAAAGTGTGTGGATTCTCATGTCATATAACTTGTGTAAACAAAGCTCCAACTGCTTGTCCAGTTCCTCCTGAACAGACGAAAGGGCCCCTGGGTATAGATCCACAGAAGGGAATAGGAACAGCGTATGAAGGTCATGTCAGGGTAAGTGTGCTTAGGCTGGGTTTAGGCCAATCTTTTCAGGTTTGGAAGTCCTGTCGCCTTACTTAGTCCTTGACAGAACGTTAGGTGAATAAAATTCTTCTAATAATTTTACTTCATCCAGAGTGAGGATTTGAAAACAAAAACCTAGCCTTTACTTGGAAATAAATTCCAAAATGTCTCACAACTTTCTGTACTCTCCTCATCTTGTAATAATCTCCATAAAGGAGTCTTTGACTTGTTCTTGCTGGAGAAGTGGCATATGCTTAGGAAGTAAGAGATATTATCAAGGCATAGTCCTACTTGTAATCTTGGATAATATTTTAAATGAAAGCTGCTTTCATCTTACTACCAAATTTTAACTTTTATGCTACTTAGAAAAAATCCATGAATGTTATTTTAATGAATTATTAGTGAAAGTTAAAACAGTGCTGTTTAAAAATTTTTTGGAATAAAGTCATTCAGTGTTTGAAAAACTCATTCTCACCTTTTCTCACATGTATTAATGATACATGTGTCCCATCTACTCCTGTACCATCCAAAGTGGCAGGCTTACAACTCGTGTATTGCACGCGAAGTTAAAGGGGTTCTGGTTGACATTTTAGTTTGAGCTGCTTTTGTTTGTTCGCCTAAGATCCCTAAGCCAGCTGGAGTGAAGAGAGGATGGCAGCGGGCCCTCGCTGTGGTCTGTGACTTCAAGCTCTTTCTGTATGACACTGCTGAAGGAAAAGCTTCACAGCCCAGTGTTGCAGTCACTCAGGTGATTGACATGAGGTGAGCTTCCAAAGGTGAAGTTCATATATGTATCTGTGCATGTAGGATTTAAAAAGTGTCTGATTTTTCACCTAATTATATTGTCATGTTTGATTGAGATCTAACTTCATGTTAATTTTATAATCTGATTGCTATAGTAAGAAAACTAAAAATAGGAAGCAAGGTGTATGTGTGGAGGGACAGGTCGGTGTGAGCTAGGGCTGGAGGTCAGGGAAAAGAAGTGAGTGTTTGAATCCTAAGACAGGTTTACAGATTGCTGGGCTAACGAAGGCCTCATTTGTGGGGTTTATATCATCATCATAACCTAGAAGCTCAGCAAAATTCCAATGTGAGGAAACAAAATAAAAGTCTCAAGGTCAGACAAGCTTTTGGAATACATACTGAATTGGTAAACATTTAAATATAGCCCTCTCTTGAATGTTTCTGGTCTAGTTTTCCAGTCTCTCCCCTGCCCCTGCCAGTGTTCGCCTTTACCTCTTCTCCTAACACCAGGCATGCAACTTGAGGGTCATATTTACTCCCATGGCTTAGCTGTTGCCTCTGCATTGATGACCCCCTAACACGAATCTGCAGCCTAGGTCTTTCTCTAGTGCTCAAAACTAGGTTTTCCAGCTATGGCATTTCATACCAGCATCTCACATTATCTTCCCCATGAATATGGAATATGAAGGGACTAATGCAAGAAATTTTGGCGAGGACCCTCTGACAGAGGCCTGCAAAGGGACTAAAGATAGGAAGACAGGAAGAAGAACCAAAGATACAACTAAGATGTCAGGTCTTCAAGACCAAGAGAATGATGTTACCAATAACCAATTAAAGAAAGCAAGAGGGATCCATTATTGGGAAGGAAATCTGCTCTAGGTGTTGAAGGAACAGGAAAATGTTAGATGAGCTGTTGAGGGCACTTGAGGTGTATTACAGGAGACCAGAGGTTCCAGTCTGCTGGAGACTGGGGAGATCTACCAGGGTTCAGGTCCTAATTCTGCAGGTATATTTAACTGGTCTGTGACTTTAACTGTAAGCCAGTACTACAATGGGGGAAAAATCAAAACTCTTAAATTCAATTTGGATATTTTGTGCAATTAAATTTTGAGGAGTGCTTCATATGTATTGTTTGGATACACACACAAAGCCACATACAGCTGACTTTTAATGATTTACTATTTGTTTAGGGATGAAGAATTTTCTGTGAGTTCAGTCTTGGCTTCTGATGTTATTCATGCAAGTCGAAAAGATGTACCCTGTATATTTAGAGTAAGTATGTATGCTCTAGTTTGGTCACTGAATTATTTGATATTAATGAGTTTATATTTTGCCTGTCCATATAGATCATAAACTACTAGAAATAAGACCAAATATTATAATTTATGTGTTCCATATTGTCCAGTACTTGAATGTGTAGAAGTTGGTACTAAGTAAATATTTCATTAGTGAAAGCATGTATATATGACTAAAATAGGTTTCCTCTTGGATAATATTTTTGAGTCACAATTCAGTTTTCAAATAAATCCTAGCACATGAAAAAATGAATTAAATGTGGTTTTAAAGTTTTTGAAAAATAGTAGGTTATTTTAAAATCTCATTTAAAGAATTAATGTTTCAGTTCTATTGCTTTATACTAACTGCTCCAAAACTTGGTGGCTTAAACCAGCAGTGTGTTGTCTGTCACCGTCATGTGGGTCAGCTGTACAGTTCTTGTGTGTCAGCTCATGTGGCTTCATTCAGCTCATCTGGGGCTGAAATGTACACAGCAACTTCATCCCACATCTGGGGCCTGACTACTGGCTGTTCGTGGGGCCACCTCAGTTCTGTGAACTCTGTCCACGTGGCCTCTAACCATTCAATGGTCTGGGCAAGCCTCTGGCTGGCTTCCAAGAAAGCAAAAGAAGTTGCCAGGCCTTTTAAAGACTAGGCCCAAAACAGGCATCATAACCCTTCTGTATTCTCTCACTCAAGTCATGGGGTCAGCCTGAATTTAAGGGGAGAGGAAATAGACTGCACAGCTTAATAAGAATGGAATTCCATGGGAAGAATTATTGGTAGCCTCTTTGGAAGCTGTCTACCAGTGTGCAATCTTGAGTTGGAGAATTAAAACAATAGAGGTTAAAAAAGACTACTGCCCTAAGTAAGTGTGCTTATGTGCTTAGTACTCATCTGTGAGCCTCCTACCTAAGGAAGGGCAGACAAAGCTGGGCTTGGTGCCTTGGTTCCCAGACCAGCAACTATTTACTCTCTTCCAGCCACCAAGGAGCCTCAGCAGGCCCACTTATCTACGGCTGATTCACATAGTGGGCTTTTATCTTCACTGATACTGAAATTACTTTTAGTAAGGAATCCATGTATATATGAGTTAAATCTATTGTAATTATAAATGCTGTTTGTATATGATAAAGCTTCATTTAAATACTATCTCAAGTGATTGATCTTCTCTAAGATAATGTGAGTTGTTATTATAAAGTAACAGAATATAATTATTTCTGAGCATTTCTGGCTTTTTAAAACAGGTTGAGAATCAGCATGGTGTACTGCTTACAAGCTTGGACATGGGATCCCAGGCTAGTTGTGCACCCTTGGAGAAATTAATGTCTCTGCCTCCCAGTTCTTTCTTATATAAACTCAGGGTGAATGGTAATGCTTCTGTGATGAGGATGTTGAGAGGCTTAAGTGAATTAATACTTTAAAATGCTTTGCTCTGTGCCTAGTGCTCAGGAATCATTCAGTACATGTCAGTTGCTGTTGTTACAATAATATATGTAATACATTTTGTAGTGGTAGTATTCTTGCACTTTATAGCAAAGAAAATAAAAATGATGTTAACATTTAGAATGGTATCTGCTCCCTTTGCTTTGTCATGGATTCCAGTGCTGAAACCAGTTACTCTTCCTGTTAGGAATAACGAAACCCTGTTAAAGGTATCATTGATAAGTGCTTCCTTGTTGGCTAAGCAAACTAGCTTAAGAGTCAAACTGGCTTAAAGGGTAACTGTGTTCTAATATCATGAATACTGATTAAATTGTTCCAGGTCACAGCTTCCCAGCTCTCAGCATCTAGTAGCAAATGTTCGATCCTGATGCTGGCAGATACTGAGAACGAGAAGAGTAAGTGGGTAGGAGTGCTGAGTGAATTGCACAAGATTCTGAAGAAAAACAAATTCAGGGACCGCACAGTCTATGTTCCCAAAGAGGCTTATGACAGCACTCTACCCCTCATTAAAACAACACAGGCAGCTGCAATCATAGGTATGAATTTATCATGCTCTCATAATTGTTTACTAATCCACTTTGTGAGCAGGGACTGGCTTTTGTCTAGAAATCTCCAGTGTCCAGTACAGTGTGTGTCATATCACAGATGCTCAGTAAATGTCTATTAAATGAATGAGACTGTAGTAGAGCTTTGTTTTCAGTGAACAAGTATGCTTTCTAAATACATTCTCTTCTGAAAAAGCTTAATAAAGGTTAATCTATTTTCTGCTTGTGTGACTTAGAACATGTTGATCCATTTCTTAAATCTTAAATTTCCTATGTAAAATATAGATCTAATTGTCTTAATTAAAGTCATTGAAAGATTCAAATAAGATGGAATACATATCACAGAGTGACCTGCATATAAAATGCCCTGAAAATATGGCAATTTCTGTGTCTCGAGGTTTAAATTTTCCTCATATTATTATCCAACTCTTTTGTCACTTTCCAATAAATAAAAGTTTAAAGAATAAGGGTCAAATGCGTTTTACAACTTTCCCTCCCAAAACAAGAAATGGAATAGGACCCAGCGTGCTAACAAGGTGGGGTTTTTTTCCACATTTTATTGAATAAGCATGTACTTCTTTTTATAAGTATTGATGTAGATGAATTTCTAATGGTTGTTCTTTTAAGGTAATAGTTATCACTATAATCTGAAAGGAAATTTATTAGTATAAATTGTTAGTGCTATTTTTAAATTATTTTATTTATTTCAGTTTTTTGCCCCAAATTTCTTCGTTTTCTGTTTTATTCTATTAGTTTTACATGGTTTTTACCTATTAAAAATGTTTAATGTTTATGTCTTATATAGATCATGAAAGAATAGCTTTGGGAAATGAAGAAGGGTTATTTGTTGTGCATGTCACCAAAGATGGTAAGAGGAAATTTAATTACAGTGGAGTAACTTTAAACCATATGTTGTTAGAAAATTCTACTCTCTAGATTGTAAGTTGTAAAGAGAACAAGATTTGCCCTTATTTACTCTGTAACAGTTCTGTTGAACAAAGATTGCATTTCTAAAGATGGTGCATGAAAGAAAATGATTTTTCATTGTTCTATTAGTATTAAAAGTGGTAACAGTTATTAAAATGTGTTTGTTGTTGGGGGAGAGGGAACTTCCAGAGTTCCAAATTTTTTTCTAGGGAGAAATTAAATACTGGCTGAAATAAAAAGCAGTCAGTTTAATTTAGTGTTCTTGAATATTGTGTTCTGTCTTTATAGTAAGTTAGATCATGCGGGAAACAAGGCATTTAAACTACATTTATTTGTTATCCACAGAAATACCTTCAGTGAAGTATGACTTACTTAGTTTTTTAAATAGGTACCCCATGGTGAAGTTCCCTAGAATTTGGTGCCAATAAAAAGGTTTTCCTTGAAGATTTGGCTTCTTTATCACACAGGGACTCTGCCTTGGTTGTCAGAAATCTCAGTGCTGAACTTAATGCCTTACTACACATGAGTTAAATTATCTGTTTTCCTCTTTCTCCGTATGATTTCTGATCTGTGTATCTGTGTATCTTAAGTTGATTTAACATCCTTTTGAGTGTTACTGGGATATGATTAATAAAACATTTTGCATTTGATTTATTATTATTTCTTTGCATAGAAATTATCAGAGTTGGTGACAACAAGAAAATTCATCAGATTGAACTCATTCCAAACGATCAGCTTGTTGCTGTGATCTCTGGACGAAATCGTCATGTACGACTTTTTGCTATGTCAGCTTTGGACGGACGAGAGACTGACTTTTATAAGCTGGCAGAAACTAAAGGGTGTCAAACCATAACTTCTGGAAAAGTGTGCCATGGAGCTCTTACATGCCTGTGTGTGGCTATGAAAAGGCAGGTCCTCTGTTATGAACTATTTCAGAGCAAGACCCGTCACAGAAAATTTAAGGAAATTCAAGTCCCTTATAATGTCCAATGGATGGCAATCTTCAGCGAACAGCTCTGTGTGGGATTCCAGTCAGGATTTCTAAGATACCCCTTGAATGGAGAAGGAAGTCCATACAGCATGCTCCATTCAAATGATCACACCCTATCATTTATTGCACATCAGCCAGTGGATGCCATCTGTGCAGTTGAAATCTCCAGTAAAGAATATCTGCTGTGTTTTAACAGCATTGGGATATACACGGACTGCCAGGGCCGAAGATCTAGACAGCAGGAACTGATGTGGCCAGCAAATCCTTCCTCTTGTTGTAAGATTACATCACCCTTGGCTGTCTTTTCTTTCCCTTTCCTTCTACTTCATCTCCTAGATATATTCATTGTTAACAGCAGGTTATTTTTTTAAGTCATCCATATGATTTTTCCTAAGAATTATATTGTTTATGTAAAGTAACCATATATAATTAGACCTAAACTAACAGGATCAACATTAATATGTATGTAATTAAAGCTAATCTTCCTATGGAATATTTTAGGTGGGTTATTAACCCTAAATAGTTATCTTCATGTTCCCCAAAACCGTAGTGCTTATAAGCATTAATAACTCATAGGACTTATTCTGGAGAAGTATTTACTAAGTGAATCGTAACAGTATAATGTAGCATCTATTAGAAGTGGTGTTCAGTTTTACATTTTTATATAAATTGGTAGGTATTTTAAATTGCTTATTGCACTCTTTCAAGAAATGAGACATTAATATATTACCAAATACTTATATGTGCTATCTCACTGCAAGATAAAGCAATGAACAGAATAGGACAATCTCACTCTCATAGATTATAGAGTGAAATAGAAAAGACTCAGTAGAATGTAGGTGCTGTGAAGGCAGAAGTACTGGGTTCTGTAAAGCTCATGGGAGGAGTATCTAATCCAAAGGTTTTGTTTTAGTGCAAGATACCGAAGCATCTTTAAACGCCGAAGGGAATAGCCACCAGGGACTAGGGAAAGGTTGACTCTATAGTCAATATAGGAAAGAGAGTAAAATCCCCAAGGAAGCCAAAGGGGATAGGGTTCAGAACACCAGGGGAAAGGGTTTAGGCAGGAGAAGTGGACCCTCTCCCCCTGGAACAAGACAAGGGACATGATGGGTATGAGGACAGTGGAGGTTAAAGCTTCAGTGGGAGAAGGTTTAGGAGGGCCTTGCACGCCATTACAGAAAAATCAGAAAATCAACAAGAAAAATACTTCTTATCCTACCCATCCAACTTAACTATTCTTAATGCTTTTTTCCTAATAAATATATTCTTTTCTCAGCATCATATGTAGAATGAATGCTGTTTTGTAGCCTTGTCAGGTAACAATTCAAAGTATTACTTCTAATGAGGAATAAGAATTGGAATATCCAGCTTCTATGTATAGCTCTGCCAGTAATTTTTAACTTGTGACCTAGTGTAAGCAAATGGTTTAATTTCGCTTTGCTTGTGTTACTATTTATTGGTGTTTATTCTTTCAGTAAATGGAAATTAGGCATTCCCCCTCTTCATGTAACTGTGCTGGGTGTTCTGTTATGTTCATAATGTGACTAGAAATCTTCTCTAAAGGTTTCTCTGCTTTATAAGTTTCACTGTCAAAGCTTAACTAGTTTAGGAATCAAATATTTTGAAATGTAATGAAATTCCTTTACAGAACTAGTATTGGGCAAGGGAATTTTACACCCTTGGTGTCCACAGAATCCTTATGTATTCTAGTGGCTATATAGTCTGCACGGTAGTATGTCAGCTTTTCATCTACAATTTATGTTCTATTGACTTCAGAATGTTTTCATATGGCCACTATATGGTAACAAGAAGATTTTGTTGGGATTCCATCTACAGTTATTTAGCATAGATCTTTCAAAATGTTTGCATTTAACAGGTAAAAGTAACCAGCTGGCTATTCCTTCCTTCCTCCTCCCAGGTTACAATGCACCGTATCTCTCGGTGTATAGTGAAAACGCAGTTGATATCTTCGATGTGAACTCCATGGAATGGATTCAGACTCTCCCACTCAAAAAGGTAATTTAACATTAAAATATAGGCTAATTAAGCAAACTAGTAGAGTGAAACACTAATATGACTGTTCAGCTGTTTTTCACTCATTCAGCTTTCTCTGGCATAGGTAATTGATAATTTGGGACATAGCTAGGATTTTTTAAAAAGAAACAAAAATTAAGCTGGTTAAATTTATACGTAGCTCAACTCCATACTATTTTTATTATTTTGTTTCTGTATATGAAGTATGGATTACTATCATAATGAATAATTAGAATATATCCTACAACCTAAAATATCACTGTCATCTTCCACTTAGTTTAAGGGGCTCTGAAGGAGTATATTATCATTCTTAATTATAACTGTGTTTCAGATAATGGTAAACAATTTGTAATCCTGTGAGAACAGATTTCACAGACTAGAAAAGTGATTAAACTTAGAACCAAAACTGTGTTCAAGCATCTTATGATGGAAAATAAAGATTTCATATATTCCTAATAAAATAGTATTTTCCTTTGATATTTCTCTAAGATAACGTAAAGAGAACTTTTACAAGTATAGAAAAACTGTTGTGCAAAAGTGAAGGGTAATCGTTTCAGATGGATACACATAGCACATATCAGTTGGTGGGCAATTTAGAGAAATAGGTAAAAGATGACCAGGCTCATACTGACAGTGTGCCCAGTTCTAAATCATGTCTGCAGTGGAAACAGCTCTGGTGAATATCACACATTATACAAGGCAGGTGAAATATGGCCTCTGGTTTGTAGATTCAGGCTCATTACGATTAGTTCTCCATTTTATTTTCATCGTGTAAATTTTGCAATATATGTGAAAGACTGTATGACCTTTATGAAGCATAATAATAATCTGGTCACTCGTGAGCCCACCTCCTAACTGAAGAGCGGGGACATTGCCGGCACCACTGCACCTACTCGTGCACTCTTCCACCCTCCCCCGAGAAGCCGCTGTCCTGCATGTTGGTTTATCATATCTGGCTTTTCTTAGAATACAGGTTTTCTGCGTATTAAATATTCCCAAATGACACATTGTTTAGTTTTGCTTGCCTTTGAGCTTTTTAAAAATACTTTGTTGTGTGTCTCCTGCCTCGTTTTCTTCCTTCACACAGATTCTAAGATTCGTCCATGTTGTTATGTGTACTATATAATTTATTACTTTTCACTGCTATAAAATACTCTTTAAGTGAATGGATCACAATTCACCCATCTCTGATTAGCAGGGTTTAAACTACTTTCCCAGCTCTTTTGTTTTGTGAGCATTATGCGTTTGTCTTCTGGTGCACGTGTATGGGAATTTAAGCCACAGCCTAGGAGCAGAATTGACACAGGATGCAGGTGTTCAACTTTACAAGATATTTTTCCAAAGTAATTGTGTCAGTGGACACACCAACCAGCAGTAAATGATACTCTTACTGACCCAGTCCCCTCTAACACTTGCCATCTTGAAAATTCATAGTTTTAAAACTACTATAAATGGTTATGAAATGGGTCTTACTGAAGCATTAATTTGCATGTCCCCAGTTAACTATGTTGTTGAGAATGTTTGTATGTTTATTCATCACTCATATTTCCTCTTCCATGAAATGCCTAGTCATGTTTTTCTCATTTTTCTGTTCAAATGGCATTTTTTTCTTACTAATTTATTTAAATTCCTGATAAACATACTCAGTAAGGGGTGTGGTAAATCTTTTTCCTGTTTGTGACCTATCTTCACTTTTATAGTGTATATCACTAAATATTTATGGTTATAAAGTAACAATAAATTGTATTATTTTGCTGAAAATTTATTGTTACAAATTTTAATGTGGTCATTCTTATCCTTAGGCTTATCTTTTTCTCGTAGTTAAGAAACTCTTTCCTAACTCAGGGTTGTAAAGATAATGACCTTTATTTTCTTTCAAAAGTTTAAAAGTTTTGCTTATTACATTTATGGCATTGATCCATTTGGAATTGATTTTTTGAGGAAGCTGTGAAGTAGGGATTCAATTTCATTTGTTCTGTATAGATAACAAGTTGCCTCATTGCCATTATTGATAGCCACTCCTTTCCCCAGCCAGCGCTGTACAATTTCATCTCTGTCACATGTGCACATCTAGTTCAAATAAGATCCATAAGGTAGCTGTGTTGATATCTTCTTAGTATAACCATCTAGTCACTAATGGCTTTAAAAAGTCAAATTAAAAAATTTAAATGTGTTCCTCCTTTTCTTTTGCCCAGAATATTGTTCTTAAAATGTTATTATTATTATAACTTTCTTCAAATTAGATAATTTTATACCTTTGCAGAGGGAATTGATGTTCTTGTTGATTTTCTGAGAGAGCTGCATTTTGAAGAGGAAGAATAAATAAAAAGGTCTTAATAGAGTGTTTTTTATAAATAGGGCAAAAGATTTATGATTTAATTCTGAAGGATTCATCAAAATACTAATTCTTTTCTTTTTCTTTTTTTTCAGGTCCGACCCTTAAACAGTGAAGGATCGTTAAATCTGTTAGGGCTGGAGACAATTAGATTAATATATTTCAAAAATAAGATGGCAGGTAAGAAAATATACATTAATAGGATAGCTTCAAGAGAAATATCCTCTCTGACCTGCGTGCATAGAAAGTGGCAGAGCCCAGACATAAATTCAGGTGTATCTTACTCCAAAGCCTGTGATCTTGACCACTGTTGTACTCTCTCAATATGTTAAGTAAACTCTTAGATTAAAAAGCCAGTCTGTTTAATCTCATATTGCTATCTATACAAGTGAAATATGTGTTTTTGACCTACCTTATTTTTCTTTGGAGTACTGAGGTTAGGAGACAAGTATAGCTGGGATATCTCCTGTACTATTTATTAGTAAATGCATAAAACCTAGCCAAAGTGTGCACCTTGAAACTAAGACACTCATCCTGAGTTCTGATCTGGGACTTTAGAAATACATCTTCTGCTGAAGGGCTTAAAGCTTGTGAAGAGCTAATGACAACATGGGCCGAAGTGGGAGAGAGGAAAGTCACATGGATGCCCAGAACAGGAGCTCTGGGTGTTGCAGGGGAGGGTTGTATCAGAGTGGTAAGGTGAGCCCAGCCCAGGAGACTGTCCACATGTAATTAAAAATGTGTAGACATAATGTACCAAACAGTTAGAATGTTGCCTTTATTATAATCCTCCCTTTTATGTAATAAAATTACTCTCATGTCTTAGCAACAAATTTCTGCATAACATAAGTATTCAAAAATTTATGATCTTTTATGGTGGAGCTATTAAGGAAGAGAGATTTCTGGTATATTATGTGTTTAAAATAATAATTAAAACTGACTTAAAGGTAAGTAAAAACATTTGCCTGTGATCTTGACCACTGTTGTACTCTCTCAATATGTTAAGTAAACTCTTAGATTAAAAAGCCAGTCTGTTTAATCTCATATTGCTATCTATACAAGTGAAATATGTGTTTTTGACCTACCTTATTTTTCTTTGGAGTACTGAGGTTAGGAGACAAGTATAGCTGGGATATCTCCTGTACTATTTATTAGTAAATGCATAAAACCTAGCCAAAGTGTGCACCTTGAAACTAAGACACTCATCCTGAGTTCTGATCTGGGACTTTAGAAATACATCTTCTGCTGAAGGGCTTAAAGCTTGTGAAGAGCTAATGACAACATGGGCCGAAGTGGGAGAGAGGAAAGTCACATGGATGCCCAGAACAGGAGCTCTGGGTGTTGCAGGGGAGGGTTGTATCAGAGTGGTAAGGTGAGCCCAGCCCAGGAGACTGTCCACATGTAATTAAAAATGTGTAGACATAATGTACCAAACAGTTAGAATGTTGCCTTTATTATAATCCTCCCTTTTATGTAATAAAATTACTCTCATGTCTTAGCAACAAATTTCTGCATAACATAAGTATTCAAAAATTTATGATCTTTTATGGTGGAGCTATTAAGGAAGAGAGATTTCTGGTATATTATGTGTTTAAAATAATAATTAAAACTGACTTAAAGGTAAGTAAAAACATTGGTATAAAAAAAATCCATTGTAAGTTTGTTGTCAGGAAGGCAATCTGCTTAAGTAATTATGATAGAAGGAGAGAGGAGCTTTCTTACTGATCATCTACTTGGCTTGCCTTAAACACCCACTTGGCTTCTTCCCATCTTCTTTTCCTCGCTTCAGCTTTTTGGGTGTTAAAAATTCTGAAGATTGGCTTTTCTCTTTTCCCTTATTTAGAGAATGGGATTCATCATGTTGTATGACACTGTTGTCTATTTTATTCTTGAAGTACTTTCACATATTCCAGCATGTTTGAGGAGCCCTTGGCTGACAGTTTTGTTTACTTCTAGGTACTGAAATTAAGATAGACTGAGATGGGCACTGGGATGCTGGGTGTTTACAAGTATCCTTTTCTCTAAGATCAGAGGAATAGAAACTGACAGATTCTTATCTTTAGTAGAGGAAGCTAGGAGGGGCACAGTGCCTTTTCCTGATGGCACTTCTTGCAGATTGAGCAGATTGGATCTTACAAAGGAAATGTTTTATTATGAAAAGTAATTTTAATTGTTATCATTTACATAAATAGTTTACAATTTCTGCCTGATTATTGTGCAGGTTAACAATAGGAGCTTTTTAATACCCTAGGCCATTGAAACCAATATCAGGAGGTAAAGACAGGGTAGAGATGTGGGTGGGGGGTGGCCAAAATGATAGGACACCAAGGCAACTACATTTTTTTTCTTCTGCTAAAATTGTGCCTTCTTAAGTTTATAATCAAATAATGTGAAAATATGCTTTGTATGCTGTTTAATTTCAGCATGTGTCTGTTTACATATGTTCTGTTGAAAATTACTGCTTATTTACTACAACACACAGCCTTTAAAAATTAGAATTGAATATATTGTACAATTGATTAACATTTGTACTGTCTTGGAGATTAATGGATAAAAATCATTTTAGTACTTTGAAGAACATCATTGTTCTTTGTATTTTTTTTATTAAGGTATAATTGATATACACTCTTATGAAGGTTTCACAAGAAAAACAATGTGGTTATTACATTCATCCTTATTATCCAGTCCCCCTTCATACCCTATTGTAGTCACTGTCCAATCAGTGTAGTAAGATGCCACAGAGTCCCTATTTGTCTTTTCTGAGCTACACTGTCTTCCCGTGACCCCACACACACCATGTATACCGATCATGATACCTCACAAACCCCTTCTCCCTCCCTCCCCACCTGCCTTCCCACACCCCTCCCCTTTGGTAACTGCTAATCCCTTCTTGGAGTCTGTGAGTATGCTACTATTTTATTCCTTCAGTTTTGCTTCGTTATACTCCACAAATGAGGGAAATCATTTGTTATTTGTCTTTCTCTGCCTGACTTATTTCACTAAGCATAATACCCTCTAGCTCCATCCTTTGTTGCAAATGGTAGGATTTGTTTCTTTCTTATGGCTAAATAGTATTCCATTGTGCATATGTACCACATCTTCTTTATCCATTCATCTACTGATGGACTCTTAGATTGCTTCCATATCTTGGCTATTGTAAATAGTGCTGCAATAAACATAGGGGTGCATATGTCTTTTTGAATCTGAGAAGTTGTTTCCTTTGGGTAAATTCCTAGGAGTGGAGTTCCCGGGTCAAATGGTATTTCTATTTTTAGTTTTTTGAGGTACCTCCATATTGCTTTCCACAATGGTTGAACTAATTTACTTTCCCACCAACAGTGTAGGAGGGTTCCCCTTTCTCCACATCCTCACCAGCATTTGTTGTTCCTAGCCTTTTCTATGTTGGCCATCCGAACTGGTATGAGGTGATATCTCATTGTGGTTTTAATTTGCATTTCCCTGATGACTAGCAATGTGGAACATCTTTTCATGTGCATGTTGGCCATCTGAATTTCTTCTTTGGAGAAGTGTCTGTTCATATACTCTGCCCATTTTTTAATTGGGTTATTTACCCATTTTTAATTGGGTGTTGAGGAGTGTGAGTTCTTTATATATTTTGGATATTAACCCCTTGTTCGATATGTCATTGCAAATATATTCTCCCATGCTGTAGGATGACTTTTTGTTCTGCTGATGGTGTCCTTTGGTGTACAGAGCTTTTTAGCATGATGTAGTCCCATTTGTTCATTTTTTATTTTGTTTCCCTTGCCCGAGGAGATGCGTTCAGGAAAAAATTGCTCATGTTTATATTCAAGAGATTTTTACCTATGTTTTCTCCTAAGAGTTTTACGGTTTCATGACTTACATTCAGGACTTTGATCCATTTTGAGTTTACTTTTGTGTATGGGGTTAGACAATAATCCAGTTTCATTCTCTTGCATGTATCTGTCCAGTTTTGCCAACACCAGTTGTTGAAGAGGCTGTCATTTCCCCATTGTATATCCATGGCTTCTTTATCGTATATTAATTGACCATATATGTTTGGATTAATATATGTTGGAGTCTCTATTCTGTTCCACTGGTCTGTGGGTCTGTTCCTGTGCCAGTACCAAATTATCAGGACTGCTTTGGCTATTCAGGGTCTTTTTTGGTTCCATATGAATTTTAGAACTATTTGCTCTAGTTCCTTGAAGAATGCTGTTGGTATTTTGATAGTGATTGCATTGAATCTGTAGATTGCTTTAGGCAGGATGGCCATTTTGACAATATTAATTCTTCCTATCCCTGAGCACAGGATGTGTTTCCATTTATTGGTATCTTCTTTAATTTCTTTCATGAGTGTCTTGTAGTTTTCAGAGTATAGGTCTTTCACTTCCTTGGTTAGGTTTATTCCTAGGTATCTTTGTATTTTTTTTAACAGAAGGAGATGAATTGGTAGTTCCTGAAACATCAGATAATAGTCGGAAACAGATGGTTAGAAGTATTAACAACAAGCGGCGTTATTCCTTCAGAGTCCCAGAAGAGGAGAGGGTGCAACAGAGGAGGTAGGTATTTAATTTATACTCCCATATATACATGCTTGGAGCATCCAAAGGACTGTTTGGTGATAATCTGATCTCTGAACTTCTGTCAGTCATCTATGGTGTCAAAATTTGCAATAATGAATGTACTTGTCAGTGTAATTTTAACTAATACTCTCCAAGTTGTAAGTATGCCCTGGATTAAAGTACCATGTTTGATTCATTTCCCTATATGCATATGAAATAGGATTTTTAGAATGTGGATCTTCCTATAAATATCCATGCATATTACTATATTTGTTTATATATGCATATACATTACCTGTATATATTTAAGAACTTCAAATTAACTGTTCATGAGAAAACAGAAATAGGCTTGTAAGATTTCCAGTTACATATAAAAAACATTTCTAAAGTACTAAAATTTATTTTAAAAGACACATAAAATGGTAAAAATTATCTATAAAATAGAATATGGCTTCTTTGAGATCTAAGTACTAAAAGAACCCTCTCTACTTTCCAGAAAAATAATAAGATTTTATTTAAAATTTCAAACAAAAACTTCTAAGTAGGTTTTTAATTGAATATACTCTATTAATTCTATCCTTATTAACATTATTTCAGTTTTTAATGAAAAAATAAAGAATGCCTAATTTTTTCCTAAAGTTATGTAGATTAATCACTGAGAAAGTGTCTAAACAGGTGTTTTATCTTACAGAGAGATGCTACGAGATCCAGAAATGAGAAATAAATTAATTTCTAACCCAACTAATTTTAACCACATAGCACACATGGGTCCAGGAGATGGAATACAGATCCTAAAAGACCTTCCCATGGTAAGAAATGAAGCAGGAACGTGAACATAAATGGAGTTAAGAGTAAGGTGGGGGCGGGGGGGAGAGTGCCTGGGTGTGTGTGTGTGCACATGCGTGTGTGCATGCACGTATGCGCCCCTCTGTGCTTGAATACATGCATAGGCTTAAAAGACTATATTAGTATAATGAGGTAATGTTTAGCTCAGTATATCGCAATGTATAAGGTGCACGGTGACATACCTGATGAGAAGAATATAGATTTAGACATGAGTCAAGAACCAAACATACCAAGTTCTTATTTAGTGTGATACCCTATCAGCTTCTCCCATATCTAGACTTGCTATTGTTGGTAGAACAAACTGTCAGATTTGGAGAGGATCTATACCAAGGTTCAGGACTTGGTTACCAAACCACTAAGTTTTCACTATGTTTTAGCAGTTCAGTACAGATATTTGCCCCTTTTGTTTCCTCCAGAGAACCAGGTTAGCTTGGTCATCATTAATGGTCACATCTCTCATCTGATTATGAAATTATATCTTTTTCCTTTCCCCTGTTACAGACATGTTGCCTAGTCAGTCTCACATAAAAAAGTACAATATAAGAAAACTTGTTTTTTTAAACAAAATGAAGATTGGATTCTTGGGCCATTGTGTTGAGATTAAGAATATTAGTGGAATTAGCTAATTATCCAGGTTCTGTTTACACTTAACATTTGAGCATCATAATACTCTCAGCAAACCATTGAAACTTTAACAGGACCCTTTGGATCAGTGGCAACAGCATCCAGATTTGTGAATCTTGACCCAAAGCTCTTTCTAAGGAAGTCTGTCTTCATTACCCTCATTATTAACTCTACCTATGATAGAATATACGACAGACAAAGTGATAGGCAATACAGTTTAATGTGCAGTCAAGTTTTTTTTTTAAAGGAAAGCTTTTAAAGGTGGCTTTGCTTTTATTGCATGGACGAACAAAAGAATTACATTCATTGGAGTCTGAGGCCCTCATGTAAATATTCTGACTAACTAGTTGCCCCTGTGTATGAATGAATGTGACATTCTTACTGTTACAGTTTTTCATCATCATCAAGACACTAATTATATGGTTATAATACTATTCCCCCCTTTAAGGAGTTCCAATCATTCACAATAATCATATAGACTTGGGATTTTTATAGCTGTTCTGGATAAATGTAAATAAAATAGGCAAAAAGATCACAACTAATCTTGATTAGTCATTAAAACTAAGTAAAAAAATGCTAAAGCTGCACATGTTAAATATTGAACTGTTTATACTTACCTATTTCATATTTAAAGGCTATACTATTTCTTCAGCTTTTGCCTGGGAATGAGATTTCAGATTTCTCTCCATTCTTCCCCATTATGAACATTTGTTTAAAGTCCCCAGTCCAGTTTTCCTTTATCCCCAGAAGTAAACATAATATAACCATATAGTTCAAAGCCTCTGTCATTTTCCTTATGGAAGTTACCATGTTAGGTACAAAGCACCTTAAGAGAGAGCACTTTTTTTTATTTTGATGAACAGTTGAAATTTGAATATATTTTAGCTTTTATTTGATAGATCAAATTGTTATGTACTATTTTTTTAAATTTAGTTAGTAAATAGTTTTTAACACCTGATATGTAGTTAGCATTTTGGAGAGAGAGAGGTATACAGATTTGAAACACACACATGTGTTATAGAACAACACATCAACAAATACAAAATGACTTGTAGTTAAAATTTCCTTTCACTTTTGCTTCATTTTTTTTGGTACAAAAAAAAGGACTATAGTTTTCCTCTCATATATTCCAACAACATAAGAATTACAGAAAAATGTTTCTATTAATTCTATTACACTCCACATATTACAGTATTTTCCTTAAGGTGAAATAGTTTCAGAATGTAACAGAATATTCCTCTGTGTGGTATTCTCCTGCATCAGGTAAAAAACTAAATGTGCTTATGTTCCAGAATTATTCAGACTTTCATACACAATAGCAGTTGCTCACTACACACCCTTCAAATAAGCACACTGAAGCAAAATGTCAAATTTCCAACATTGTAAGAGCTTTTATATCCAAGCACCCCTCCTTACTCTGCTTTTTTCCCCTCGCCCTCCCGCCACTTAAAAAGAAATCTCTTTTCTTATTTAAAATAAATTATCTTTATTACTAAGGAAAATAAGTTCAGATGGCATTCCCCAAAGAGTCATTCTCCACCTGACCCCGTGACGCAGGGCCTTCTGTACTGGCTGCTCATCCCCATTAGACCTCCTGATGTTTGGTGTTCGTCATCACTGATTTTGTCAGCCAATGATCACCTTGTTGATTCTTTTTGTCAGTAACTCAAGTGCCTTTTTGCCCTGCACTGCAATGCAGTTGTTAATGCTCCTCCATTCCTTTCAAGGTTTCTTACCTTAGAAGCACTTTTGCGTTCTCAGGATGAGAAGTTGGTGTAAACTTTTTAATCTGTTTCTTCACCTGTTCATGTAGATTTGCATCAAAGATTGTATGTGTCTAAATCTCTGCACTCCAAAGCCTAATTTTATTTTCATCTGACTTTCTTCCTTTCACTAGCAAGGGACGTACAATCTGGGACTGTTTCTAGGCATCCATTTAGTCACCTAACAAATATTTTTGCTATACTGTCTGCCCAAAATCATGCTTGTGTTGTAGTAGACTTGGTAAACAGCACAATAATGCATGTCTGAAAAAAAATACTAATATGCATGTCTATACCTGTATGTGTGTGTATATATATGAGTGTATGTATACATATGTTTATTGAAAAGCCTGTGGTATTTAAATATAATCTCAGATTTTAATGTGTTGTTGTTCCCACTCAAATGGAATTATCTATATTAAATGAACCATTTCCAAAAATTAAGATGAAATAAATTCATCTAATGCTAACGTATACAAGAAGAGCTTTCAAATGCCAAAGCTACCTGTTGTCATCCACTCAAAGAGCATGTATCCCAGACATTATTCAAGTCAGTATTCCTTTCCTATGAAATACTTACAAGTTTAGAGAGTTTATTGGATGTCTTTAGAAGCTTAATTCTGTCTCCTTTGTACCAAAATGATAACTGAATATGGTTATTTGCCTCATGATGTTGAAGAGGTGATAAGGGAAAGGGTCATTTTTTTCCCCTTTTTCTCCTTACCAGATATGTGTATCTTCATTAGCTAAGAGAATATAAGCAATTAATATAAAAGAGCATGTACATCTTAGAAGTACATATTGTATTAGTTTTCCTGAGTTCTTTTTGTCAGTTACCTTTTCTCATAGTGGATGCTAATAATAAAGGACAAATTTTTTTTCAGTTGAATGCAAGAATATTTTACCTTCAGAAGATTTATTTTTAGCATTCATATTTATAAAAATTTTACATAAATTATATTTATATTGTGTAGTAATATAAATATATGTTTATAACATTTTTCCTAGCCCTTTACCCGTTCCTAAAGTTATTAATAAAGATAAAATTTCTAACTGAAAGACCTATTAGAGCTTTAAGAAGTGATTTTGCTTCTTTAAGTCAGTTAAATTTATACCAGTAGTTTTTTTTCTTTTTAGAAATAATATCAGGAAGTACTGATTTCATGCAGATCTCTAAATTTAAAACAGTATCTTATGTAGGAGGCTTTCTGTTAAGCCTACATAATTTACCAGATTTTGTTTAACAAAGCAAGCTTATCTCAACTCATAGAACATAAATTCAGTCACCATTTTCTCCCACAACCCATTGCCCCTCTGCCTTCTAATAAACAACATAGCAGTTCAAGAACTGAACCTTGAAAATTCCCACTAGGGAATTAGGGAGGTGACTAGATGCTGAGGGATAATCCCAAATATTTAGAAGTCATTTTGCCTGAAAAACTGGAGTCCTTGGCTCCAAAAGCTTTTTTCTTTATCTTTAGTATTACATTTCATTTTTTTTTATACACCTGAAAATTGACCTGAAGATTTCCCCGTGTTAAAAGCAGACGTGTGCTTTGGGTGTCTGCGTGGAGGTGAGTTTGGGCTGCTACAGTAAACGAGTAATTGGTATATTCCACAGTTACTCACTGTTTTTGTTGTAAGAAAATAAGATTAGTAAAAACAAACACACATCACCCATCTATAAAGACTAGAACACAGTTTTAGGTTTCTAAAGAAATGGTGTTCGTGGCACTTCTAGTGAGGCTGGACCTATGTTTACTTGTTCTTTTAACTATTTTTTGCTTTTTCTGTCTTTATTGTTTTTGGTACAGTTTTGCCATGTTTGATTCAATCACATGTTTTAAAAATACTGAACTAAACTCTGAAAGTCTCCTTGCATCTCTGGAAGTCCAGTTTCTACTCACTTAATGGTAATAAAAGAGTAATTTTTGAAGTAAATTATCTTATTTTGCAAGTCAGCTATTTAAGTAACTGGCAAAAAGATTGCAAAAGTTAACTTTCTAAGGCCTAAAAGTATTTCATGAAGGGTTCAGTTCTGATGTGAGATTTCTTCTATGAGCATGTTGTCTCCATGGTCATCGCCTCATACCTCTTCTTCTTCCTGTCGTTTTGGTAGCCGGGTTTCCCTGGTCCATCCCCTCATCATCACTGCGGTCTGATCTCCTCTCCGATCAACTTTGAGCACATCTATCACATGACTGTTAATTCTGCTGAACAGTTTCTCTCTCCTGATTCCATAAACCCTGGGTCTCCCCCGTCTCTGCGCTCTGTCCCCGGTACACCAAGCTTTATGACTCTGAGGGTATGAACAGCTGAGTCAGGTGTTAACTGACTAACCACGTGTGGATCTCATGCCTGGCTTCTGAGTAACACTGCCAAGGCGGCACATTTGTGAATGTTTCCTTTGGCCTGTTTCTCTTTCACCACACTTCTGTTCTTCCTTCCTTCTCTTTCTTCAAGTTCTATCTGGTTTCTAATTTTGAGGAAAAAGATGAGGACTGGGGAGGATTTCAGTTTTATTTTTGAAATAGTTGGAGGTTTTTCTGTGTTTCATGAAAGATATTCCCATCATGGTATTTTCCTTTACAGATACCATCAGAGACCCTGTGTGGGTCTTTATTCTGTTAAAACAAATGAAAAAAGATGGATCCCAGCATTTCTGAATTTTTTATAGCTTGTTACTCTAGAGCCAGTTGAATTCAGAGAAATGTTTTCATATGGAGTAAAGGTAAAGTCTGCAGTAGGGCCCAGCCCCAAGCTGCCTACTACAGTAAACTCCTTGGAAAGCTTAAATATCTCCAAAGTAAAAGACATAATCATATTAATGAGTAACAGGAAAAATTACAGAAAGAGGGTAATCTTACTAGTCTTTGAGTTGCTGATATGCCTTTAATTCCAACCAGGATCCACGATGTAAAGCTAACTCAGAAAAAAACAAAGTGTGCCACATTCTGAGGGCTGTGGCGCCTGCTGTGGGCCTTTCCACTCAGCCAGTGGCTTTGCTGTGGCATGAGAGTCGGTGGCCGTAGAGCTGAATAGCCATACTTACATCAAGAAATACATATTTGCACTAACCTCAGGGGAACATTTTCTCAAGTTCGTTTTGCAGACAATAAAATATTTGGATCATATCATGCAAACCCATTTCCCAAAGTGCCTTCTGACTTAGAAAAATAGTATAGTAAAGCAGCTTTCCAATAAGAAAACTACTATAGGGTGAGAAGTTAATTTTTTTATTTTTGTTTGTATTAAAAAATTACTCTAAATTATGATGTTTTAAATTTCATTATCAGTGACATTACACTGTAATGTCATTTAAATATCCTACTTGACAAAATAAGTTTATGATGAAAGTAAGTTTTAGTTTGCTTGGTGACAGATTTCAGGGAATGGATTCCAGAGGAATGTTATGTAATTTATTCAGTCAAATTTTTCATAAGAAAGTTGGTGGAAATGTTGCTTATCTACAGTAGAAATAGAAAACTCATCTATAAGTAGAAACACTGTCATCAGGGCAGGTTGTACCCTGAGCTTCAGCATATTTGTACATATTTGTACATGAAAAGAACTAGCAGCTTAGGTTTTATGTCTCTTTATAGTGAAGTTAAACTTCAGCTGAATGAATAATAACCATTTATAAAACTTATCTTCTATGTACCATTCTTTTATTACTTCAACATTCAGTGTTACTAAACTGGTATATTTTTACAGGCTTAATTTTTGCCATTTATTCTAGAGAAGTTTTATAGAGAAGGACAAAATCAAGGTATTTTAGGATTTATAGCAAAACAATGAAGATATAAAGGTTGAAACTGATAGTCCTGCCTCTCTTGAGCTCTCCTTTGCTGCATTATGTGCATGTAGCTGGTGTCTTACAGAGCTGCTCCTGTTTGCGAGAATGTTGACATGCTAGCACTGACTTTGAGTTTTAAATTTTTTGTTTTCTTAAAGAAAAAAAGCATTTGCTTTAAACAAATAACATACTAAGAATTACATGGAATTTGCAAATGTGATGAATCAAAATGGTAGTGGTTGAATTTGGGACCAGCCTCCCAGCCAACTTTCACTATGTGTGATTCTTCAAAATACATGATTTGGTGTTTCCCAGGAGATACTAACATGTGTTTTCTAGTTGCTAACTTTGGGCCTGTTAGTTGTCTTGCTGTAACTTTTTCCCAGGTCAGGTGTCAGCCCCAACACCCCTTCTTCTGGTCCGAAAAATTTGGGCCCATCAAGGAGGCCAAGTGCTTTCTAATCTCGGCCATGTTCAGACAGCTCATCCTACCACCACCTCTCTAGATGCATATGACTTTCAAGACACTGTATGGCCCATTTTCCTACATCGGACACAAAATCATTCGGTAATTAGATCTAAAACTTCTCAGACCAGTATTCCCAAGTTAAGTCACTTCACCCAGGCTGTGATTGTTGCAAACGCCATATTTACGGCTCATAGTACTGTCTACTCTGTGTCAGGTCGTGGGCAGCCTGGCAATCGAGGGTCACTGGCAAACAGCTCCATCAGTATCACACCAATAAAATATTGACTTGAGAGGAATGTACTTTCAATGGACTTTCCTCCCAAATGGGCTTATCTGGCCACTGAGTTATCCTAAGCAAATAAAAATCTCACACATAGTAAAAGCTTTGTTCAGTAACCTGCAAACATCCATGTAATTCTACATATCACTGTTCCTTCTAACCATGTAACTTACTGTTTGTTCCCACAACAAGCAGAACTCTTATTTGTTGGTAAGTATCACAGTGAGTATGAGGATAAGCACTTACCTCGGGTGGGAAGACTTTATCACTTTGGTCAAGATAATTTTATTTCTTGAAATTATAGTGAAAAATAGACATCTCTGCAGAAAGTCAGCTTCTCTGTGGTTGAAAATTTTTTTTCTCCTTTGTCTTTAGAACCCTCGGCCTCAGGAAAGTCGGGCAGTATTCAGTGGCTCTGTCAGTATTCCATCTATCACCAAATCCCGCCCTGAGCCTGGTCGCTCCATGAGCGCCAGCAGTGGCCTGTCAGCAAGTAAGTGGACCGGCTGCCAGGAGGCATGTCCATGACAAGGTGGTACCTGTACCTGCAAGTCCTCTGGGCTGATGCACAGTCCCTTCCCACTCAGGGAGTCTGTGTGTATTATCAGGCAGCTTCAGTGTCTCAGACCCTTTGGGGTAATGCCTAGTAAGCGTCATGCCATTGGTCATGGAGTCCTCTCATAAATAATACTTGGAAGGGCACAACAATAGAGAATAACAAGGGGTAGCTGTTGGGGGTGTGAGAAGTCACATGACCTTCCTAGGAGTGAAGTCAAGTTTATGTCATGTTTCATTAACTGAAAGAAGGCCATTGTGGCTACATGGTTGGTCAGGGAGTGCCAAAAAATAAAGTACAAAAGGTAGGCAAGAGTCAGATCAGACAGAGACTTGGAGACCAAGGCAGCAAGGCATTTTGTATTTTATTAAAATGCAACACAACTCACGCTCCCTGATTTCAAGCTATACTACAAAGCTACAGTGATTAAACTGGTATGGTAACAACAACAGACACAAAGATCAATGGAACAGAACAGAAAGCCCAGAAATAAATTCACGCATATAAAGTCAATTAATATGTGACAGAGGAGGAAAGAATATACAGTGGGGAAAAGATAGTCTCTTCAATAAATGATGTTGGGAAAACTGGACAGTTCCATTCAAGAGAAACTGGATCATTGTCTTACACCACACACAAAAGTAAACTCGAAATGGATTAAAGACCTAAATATAAGACATGAAACCATAAAATTCTCATAAGAAAACATAAGCAAAAACTTCTTGAACATAAGCATGAGTAATTTTTTTCTGGATACATCTCTCTGGGCAAGGGAAACAAAAGCAAAAATAAACAAATGGAACTACATCAAACTAAAAAGCTTCTGTACAGCAAAGGAAACCCATCAACACAATGAAAAGCTAATCTAGAGTATGGGAGAATTATATTTGATTCAAATGATACATCTGACAAGGGTCTAACATCCAAAACAATGTAAAGAACTCATATAATTCAACACCAGAAAAATAACCCAATTAAAAAATGGGCAGAGGATCAGAATAAATATTTTTCCAAAGAAGACAACAGATGACCAACGGGCACATGAAAAGATGCTCCACATTGCTAATCATCAGGGAAATGCAAGTCAAAACCACAATGAGGTATCACCTCACACCTAGTTAGAATGCCCAAAAGACAAGAAATAAAAAGTGTTGGCAAGGATGTGGAGAAAAGGTAACCCTCTTACACTGTCAGCGAGAATGTAAATTGATGCAGCCACTATGGGAAACAGTATGGAGGTTCCTCAAAAACTAAAAAGAGAAATACCACATGACTCAGTAAGTCCATTTGTAAGCATTTACCCAAAGAAACCAAAATCCCTGATTTGAAAAGATAAATGCACCCCTATGTTTATTGCCATATTATTATTTACAACAACCAAGATATGGAAGAAACCAAAGTGTCCATCAGTAGATGATAAAGAGGATGTGGGACATATACACAATGGAGTATCATTCAGCCATAAAAAAGAAAAATCCTGCCATTTGTGACAACATGGATGAAACTAGAGGGTATTATAATCAGTGAAATAAGCCAGGTGAAGAAAGACAAATACCAAATCTAAAAAACAACAACAACAAAACAGCAGTAGATCCACAGACACTGAGAAGTGACTGGTAGTTACCATGGTGGAGGGGGTAAGGTGGGTGAGGTGAAAGGGATTGAAAAACAAAAAAAACAGAAAACTTCTAAAGAGTTTTAAGTAGGGTAGGACTGTTAACCAATTTACATTCTTAAAAGGATCCCTCCAGCTGCCAAGTGGAGAGTGGGTTACAAGGCAGAGGGGGAAGCAAGCAGTAGGAGCTGATCAGGCCAGAAGGTGTGGAGAAGACCAGAACAGGGCGGAGGAGATTGTCTCCAGGTGTGTTTTCAGAGGTAGAAACAGTAAGACCTGGACAGAGTTAGTTTGGGAAAGTGAGGGAGGGGGATGAGTTAGCGATACTCCTGGGCTTCCCTCTTGAACAGGAGTGGGCTGACATGCTGGTTCAAGAGGGGCTGGAGGGTGCACAGGCATGTGCAAAGGTCCTGAGGTAGGAAGATACTAGCATGTTTGATAACTGAAAGAGCTAATACAGGTTCAAGAATATCTCCTTTTGCCACAAAAGCATGGTAACATTCAGCATTCATCAGTAACATTTCAAGGACCCATTACATGGATGTTTCTGCTAAGGCACAGGGGATAGATTCCTGTAGGACCAAGTACCTCATTTCAGGTGGTCCACAGTCTTCATCAGCCTCTCTCTTCATCCTGACCTGCAGCATCTCTTCTTACACTTCTGTGCAGAACCCTGAGCCGAGGGACCATGGAGGAAATGCCGTGGTGGGCTGGTGTCAGCTGCTAGCCCAGTACAACTTCAGGGGAGGACGGAACAGAAAGTCGTGTTAGAAGGGTCTGTTTACCTGAATAGAACTACACCAGAAATGTAGTCTCCTTGAATTCACTGAGATCGTTGGTAGTTCCTGGATTATAAGCAGTGAGGTAGATGGTCAAATGATCATTGCAGCTTCTGGTTTGAGGAAAACTTCTTAGCCAAGGGCTACTTTTCTGCCACTCTCAAAAGAAGTGTGGTGCTTAGAGACCAGAGGAAGCATAACCTACTTGTGCCAACATCACTGCAGCCCCAAAACATGTCAGTTGTATGTGGAGCAAAACCTCTCTTCACTTCCCTACCACTGATCTCAAAGAGAAACTGATTGCACTAAATCCAGTTTCACATTTAAAAGTCATCGTGGTCAAAAAAAATGTACATGTGAGGCCCAATGTGTGAGCAGGAGCCTCTGCCACAGGCCGGGTTTCCTCCTCCACCTATTGTTCATCCGGCATTGACCCAGCGTCTTCTCTTTGCCCCGCTGCTGTTTTCAGGCCCTGGCAGAGGAAAGGTGAATGGTGAGGCGGTGGTAACCTCTTGCTATGGAATAAATTACCCCAGAACTGAGAAGATTAAAACAACAAACGTTTATTATCCTCACCGTCTAGGACAGCCGGGGGCCTGGGAGCAGCTTGGCAGTGATTCCAGCTCAGGATTTTGCAGAAGGTGGTAGTCCCACTGCCGGGGCCTGACTGTGACTCAGAACCCTCTCCCAGTCACCCATGTGGCCGTTTGCAGGCCTCAGCTTCTTGCCGACTTGGTTGGAGGCCTTTCCGCCTGATTTGGGCCTGAATGTCCTCGTGAAATGCCTCTAGCTTCCCCCAGAGCAAGTGACCTGCAAGTCCAAGAGATGGAAGCTGCAGTCTTTCTGTAATTTATGAAATTGCAGGTAATTGCAGATAAAGAAAATACCTGAAATACAGAGCCCACCAGGCTAGGTAGGCCATCTCCATCTCCTCAGGAATGCGGTGGGAGGCCTGCCGCCCTTGGCAGTACCCCAGGACAGACTGCAGCCCTGGCTGCTTCACGCCATCACCAGTGATCAGGTTGGGCTTCCTCAGAGTCTTGGTTCAGCTGTGTGCAGAGGTGAGAGAAAGGCCACCCCAGGGATTGTAAGGGCACCTGCCATTTAGAGTACCTCCGACAGCACTCCCACAGGCTTGGGAAAAGGGATGCCTATTTGAGGTCACAAGGTTGGCAGGCAGAAGCCTCTGCAGTTTGGATCTAATGTTCAGAACCACAGAACTAGAAAATAGTGACTTACACCACAGTTTTTGTTGTGCGCACTAGATTAGGCATGGTATTGAAGATGATTTATGCCTTTAAATTGGTTATAGTCCAAGGAGACAGAAGAGCCACACCACAGAAGAATACATTCCAAAGGGACACCAGCAAATGGGAGTCCACGTGCACCCGAGGAAGGTCATGCCTAAAGCCTGGATGGAGTGCTGGGGGGTCAGGGGTCCAGTGGTCCTTCCCCTGAGATGCATTCTGCAGTTGTCAGGAGAGCTTGTAAATGTGACATCAGAAATTCTGCTATCATTGGTCTGGGATGGGGCCCAGGCATTGGGTTTTCTGGGCTAGCATACAGAGCATACCTCCAGCACTGGTAGCCTCTGCAGTAAGGCCATCATGGTAACAGGGAAATGCAGGCACAGTTCTGACCACAGCAAAGAAGCTCCTGGAAAGAAGCTTCCCAGGACCCTGGGCGGGTCTCTGCCAGGCAGGCTCCTATGCAGTGTATTGATGAAGACTTCTGTACTTCAATGGCCACTGGGTGCATATGCTTTACACATCAGGTGTTGACATTTTCATTGAATTGTTAATGTAAGAAACTAAACTGGGTTTTACTGAGCCAGCAAAAGGTTGAAACTATCATAATCTGTATCTTAAATAGTTGTACCAAAACTCAACTGCAGAAGGTGGTATAGTCCCTCTTTAACTGATGATCTTAATATTGAAGCTCAGCAAGATCAGAACATTTTTTTAAGCACAAAGTAAAGGACAGTAGGCATGCTAATAATTTTAAAACATTACCCTAACATTTCCAAGGGTTGTTTGGTCACCCTCTTTCTTCACTAAAGGGTACTGGCCCTTTATGTCCCCACTCTAAGAACCTCAACAGTGTGACTTTAAAGCAGCTCACCTCATCTTTGCAACTCAGGCAAACCCTGTGAATGCAAATGCTTCTCCTATGTTTTGTTTTTTATAAGAATTCTCTAAAAGTTAAGTGATAGTCATGCATCATGTATAGCCACCTTTATTTGTGGGACCTGTGCTGCTGCACTTCCTGGTTCAGCTTATGTGTTTGACCACCTGCTGTGCACCAGGTCCTGTGCTAGGCCTGGGGAAGCAAAGACCATCTACCCGTGGGGAGCATGGCAGGCACACAGTAATAACACAACGCCACACATGCCGACATAGAGGTGGTGACAGATGCTGGGGGGCACATGGGTGGACTTGCAGGACTGATTCTGTGGGACCTGTCCTGCCTGCAAGCAAGGCTGTCCAGGAACGGCCACTCAGTGCAAATAGGGTAGCCTTGAGTGCTGCCCACTCACCTGGCATCCAGATGGTGGGACTGGAGTAGGAAGAGCTGCATGAGGTAGCTGGGCTCTGGGAGCTTGGGTGCCAAAGTGGCTGGCCTCACCACCCACCAGTGAAGGGCTCTGAGCCAAGAAGGATGACCCCAAGGCAGCAGGAGGGATGGTTTGTCCTGTCAACAGTCTGTACACTTGCTGAAGGACCGTCCCCTTCTGCATGTATAAAGCTGTACCTGAATGATGTACTGTAGGGTCATCTGCACAGAACGGCAGCGCGTTAAAGAGAGAATTCTCTGGAGGAAGCTACAGTGCGAAGTGGCAGCCCGTGCCCTCCCCGTCCGAGGGCTCACTGTCTTCAGGAGGCATGGACCAGGGGAGTGATGCGCCAGCGAGGGACTGTGACGGAGAGGTGAGTGGGGCGTGGGCAGCAGCTGTGCCGAGGGCAGGGCTCTGGAGGGCCCTGTGTCAGAGACTGCCCTTACCGACGTAGTCCCCCCCCTTGAGGTCGGCCTCAGCTGCGGCAGGGATCTCCATGCCGGCAGGGCCAAAGCCTGTCTTGTGTTGCAAACTGAAGTGCTGCCGAAGATGTTCAGACTTAAGATAGCTTTTGTGTGAAAATGACCTACATTTCTAAAGCCCAGCAAAAGGACAATGAGCATTGGTCTTATTCTGTGCCTCTTACTCTAAGCTCAGAAGAAGGGCTTCACTCTGACAGAAAAACCGTATGGTCAGAGTGGCTGAAGGGGACCCACGGGGACCTGAGCCCTCCTGCCCTCTGCTTCTTTCTAACGTCTTCCTTTGGGCCTTTCAGGACTCTGATTCCCCGAGGCATTCCACCGCTTCCAACAGCTCCAACCTGAGCAGCCCTCCCAGCCCCGTGTCACCCCGGAAGACCAAGAGCCTCTCTTTGGAGAGCACTGACCACGGGAGCTGGGACCCCTGAACTGCCTCAGTGCTCACGCCTGATAAGAGCCCTTCCCTGCTGGCTCCCCACCCTGCTCTCCTTTCCTCACGCCCTCTGCCTCTGCCTGGAAGCACAGGGCTGGCAGCAGCCCCAGGGTGGGGGTTCAGGAGTTCTGACTCTGACTCTGTGACTCTCAGATCCCGTGACCCACACCCCTCCACTTACAGCAGCAGCCGTAAGGGCACACTTCCATCCCGCAGCTTAGATTCATACTGATTCAGTTCTGTACACGAGAGTGACTTTCCATGCTATTTTACACCCCTCCCCTCCCAGAAGGTAGCCTAAGTACACAGATCCCACAAATGTAAGTGATAAGAACAAGATCAGGCAGACTGTTTTCCCTGTAGAATCTCATAGTCCTGAGATTACCACCTGGCGTCCCGTCGTCCCAGCACGGCACACCCAGCTCTCACTCAGCACCTGCAGTGAATGACCGCCTGATCGGTGCCAGTAAATCCTTAGTAACTAAAACTGCATATTTTACTACAATACAGAGTTTAAATACACAAAAGTAGAGGTTAAATATTGAATGTATATAGTAAAAAAAAGCATCTTGTAGTCAGCAAAAGATGGATGCATATATGAGAGATCATTTAATTTAAAGAGATGTGTTGTTTTCTTGTCTGTCCTCAGCCAAGTAATTTAAAGGGTAGGAAGGCCTCCGGCTGACACTTGCAGGCATTCATAGAGGGAGAGCGAGAGGAATCAGAGTTCCCTTTAGCACCAGTTCTCAAACCGGCTGAGGTCACAGTTACCCAGGAGCTTTAGAACAACACTCAGAGACTTTGGCTTCCTTAGTTTGGAGTGTGGCCTGGCACAGACGTAACATGGAAAGCCTCTTCAGCAGCATGATCAAAAGGCATATTTACTTCAAGACATTTTTCTATTAGTAGAATTTGAACCACGCTTCTCAATTTTTATATTTTGGTATCTTCTGCAGATGAATGTAGAAAAGCAGTTTTGCCACCTTCCAATCCCTTCCATTGAAAGGACATGTGGAATGTCATGGCTTCTGGAGGTCCATAAAAAGGCTCACGAAAGTGCTTTCTTCCTGGGCTAATCCACTCCCTGAGTTGCCATGAGGCATCTGTCCCCCAGCTGAGCCGGCTTCCCTGGGGAGCTGTCTGTTATGACAGTGGTGTCAGCTTCCTCAAATAAGCCTGGGGGGAAAAAAAGGTTTAATTACCAAATAATATAAAACCTCAAGTGCAAGAACTTGAACAGCCTTAACCAAATATTCTCCCACACTCGGTGGAAAAGGACGCGTCCCACCCCAGGGTGCAGGCAGGACAGTAGCCTGGCATGGCCTTCTTGCCTGGGCCTGAGTTTCCTCCGTCAGTTGCTACACTGTGCAGTTGGTTACATTTCCTTTCAATTCCTGCTGTTTTAATTACCAAGAGGAAATGAGCTGCAGAACCAGAAATTTCTCCAGTCATTTCACCAGTTAAGTACCTAAGTAGAGAAAGAGGTAGAAATAAAAGTGACTCATTATTAAGAGAGTTTGTCCCTTTTACATTTCTAAATTTCTCTGAGAAATAGAAACAGGGTTTTCTGCTCTTTAAGATCCAGCTCAAAGGAAGAGCCGTGCGGTTGAGCCTGTGTTCCGCCTGGGTTCACACCCTCCTCTGAGCCGAGGGCCTTCCCAGCCCGGCCAGGGAGCTGAGCCTTTTCCCGGTTGATGCTACTCTGAGGAGAAAGCTGCCAGGAGCAGGGAGGGAAGAAAGGATCCTGCCTGGGGATTATGTTGCAAAGGGTTACCAGGGAGAAGTGAAAGTAATAACATCTGCCTGCAGGTGTAGTTTATTTTACTTTGGCTTAATTCACAGCACAATTCTAGTCATAATTCACTGCACAGTTCTCATCGCCTTCATCTTTAGGCCTTTGGAAAACCACTTTTGTCCACCCAGATACTGAGGGTCACACCTTGAGTTTGGTTGTTGCACGTGATCCTGGTACCTCCTCAAAACTGGCGCTAATCAGCCCACGGCGCGTGGGGCCTGACTAGTGCTGCCCCTCCTCCCTCCGCTGCCCTGGCAGGATTCGCTCTCCCACTAAGCCAATAGCTTCTAGTTTTGTCAACCAAGTGTAAACTTTTGTTTCCTGTAGATGCTGATTTTTTAAAGCATGCTTTTAGGATCAGAATACCCCCAACCTGAAGCCTGGCCGCCACTGCAGTAGGTCACATGGGCAGATGAGGGAGCCGCTGAGGCTGTGCGGCCGCCAGATCACTGCACGTGTAGTAGTAGCCTGGTGGGTCACACCACAGCACGTCCTGAGTTTTCCACAGCCATCTTCAGTGGTCCTACTAGCTGTAATGGAGCAGTCCCAAATGTGATAGATTCTAACAGCAGGACTTTGGGAGAAACACTGGGTTTGGGGCGGGGCTTCCTAAGATAATGGTCAACCCACAGGGCTTATCCCCACTCTTCAGTAAGAGGCAGTTACCTTCAGAAGCTTCTGAAAGGAATGATTTGAAAAGGTGGGGAGTGGGTTCCAGGGAAACAGGAAACATGATCACTCAAAGGGTCAGAAACACCAATCATGGAAAAGGCAAGGTGCTGCTGTCTGCTGTCAATCTTTCTGTGTAGAAAGTATTTTTAAAGTATAGGGCAGCAGGAACTTACTTCTCTAGGAAAAGGAAAAATAGATGGAGAAGCATTTCTGGCTTAGTCTGTATGTGTTGGTATTTGGTGCTATATCTATGTCCAGCCAATTTGTTGTCTACCCTTGAATTCTGACTAATCTAGCCATGTGTTTTAGGTGTATAAAATTATATATACACATAAATATTTTCCTTTTTGCCAAAAACAAAATACTTCCTCCTCGTCAAATGATCACTAAAGCAGATTGCGCTTTTTTAGCTTGGTGTTTGCCCACATACATGCACCCACACCGGTCCCTAGGCTTAGAGGTTTGTGTTCTTTCCCAGGGAGCTGTCTCAAGGCCGTGAGGTACACTACAAAGGGCCCATCCATTTCGTTTTCCAAGCAGTTTATATACCCAAGCTTCAGGGAAGAATCTGAAATTACTGTTATGTTTATAGCAGTCTGTCATTCCCGGTTTTCTCTCAACCTCTCTCTGCCTTCCATATGGTTACATTATGTAATTTTGTCACTTAATCACCACATCTACTTATGTGAAAGACCAGTTGCATTTATATGAACTCATATCAGAAAAGAGCAGGGGGCAGACATCCCAAACCCCCCAGGTGCAGCAGGGCTGTTTGCCAGCCTTTCAAGTGGTCACACACTGCTAAGTGGGGCATGGCATGCTCACCACCCACTGGACAGAGGCTGCTGCCCGAGTCCGCTGGGCACCACAGGGAAGTCTCTTTACTGGTCTCCTGAGTTCGTAAGCACCTGATGTCTCACTGAGTCCATCTTAAACCCTTTCTTCATTACAACTATTATTCAAGTTCTCTGGGAAGACCCACTAGAGAAGAGGGCCTTGCTTCAGCTGGTGTCCATCTCCCCTCCCAGCTCTGCCCAGCTGGCTGGCATTTCCCCACTCTTGGGGCAGCCATACACACACGAGACCATTTCATTTATGGGGATTGACCAAAAGAAAAAATTCCATGAAAACAAAATGACCTGCCTTTTTATTTGATAGTGTGATACCATTTATAAAATTTTTAGGATTTTTTCTCATTGTAATATTATTGTACAGTTTTGCATGGCCTAGGTGTAATCATTTTTTTGTTTAGAATATAATGCTGACAAATGTGTGTATGGAAGGGGAAAAGATAATCGATTTGGCCTCTGATCACTCCTTTTTTCATTTCGTTTGGTTTTATGCCCTCAGTGTCTTAGGGAACTTTATAAGAGATTCTCTGCTACCAAACAATGGTGTGGATTCTTTTTTGCACAGAAATATTTAAGGTGGGATAGTCAAAAAATGTAAAGGACTCCTCGCTACTCTTTTATGTTGGTATCACTTATTAACCAGACTTTGATGTATTGCAATAAAACAGGGAACTGTTAGAATTGAGTACTTTGTCTTTTTTTTCCCCTGATTAAAAGTCTGCAGATGGAGAAAAGGTGATTGGCTGTTTTCATCATCTTTGATCCTGCTTTCTGCCAGTCCCCGCCTCAGCCAGGCTTCCCCCCATACTACAGAAGGGCATGGGGTTAGTTTAGGACTTTCTTAGTTCCTCCCACAGCTCAGTAAGAGTGATGTTCAGTTCTCTCGGGGCTTTCAGTTCCCTTCTGCTCATACTGCCCTGGTGCCAGGCTCCACCTGAGGGCCCCTCAGGGCTCTGCTGCAGTCAGCTGGGGGTCCTCCACCCTACGGTCCCTCTCCGCAGCCAGAATTCCCCCATTGTCACGTCTGTGTGAACGTGGGGGCCACTGGACTGTGTCTCTTGAACTATGGCTGCAACTAGTTACTCTGAGGTAACTTCCATTCACAGGTACTGGTTTCTGCTGGACATGCTGGTCCGTTAAAATGCATGCCGTTTGGGAGGCAGCAATTGTGCTGTGGTTCAGAGCAAGGCTTGGCAAAAGTTCTCTGTAAGGGTGAGTGGACAGAGCTTTTGGCTGTGGGCTGTCCAGCCTCTGCCCCAGCAGCCAGAAAACAGCCCTAGAGAAACAGAATGACAGAGCAGCAGTGTTTCAAGGGAGCGTGGTTTGCCAGACCTTGGTTTAGAGTAGGGTAAGCATGGACTGTGAGGCCAGACTGGCTTGTTCCAAATCCTGGTTCCACTGACCAATGATACTCGCCCGCCACTTAGCTTCTGAGCCGAGTTTCCGCCCATTCTGAGTGTTGCAGGTGTGAAGCTGTATGTGCACATAATGGATCCTCTCGAAGGACCATGAAAACTGAGGAGGGATGGGCGTGTGGTGCTGGGCGCCAGGGCCCACCCTCCATGGTCCCCAGTAGCTGTTCCGTACCTGGAGCCCAGCCCAGCCCAGGTCTGTTACTCCTCAGTCCCAAAGTGCAGGAAGTAGGGCTGTCTCCCTGTAAGAACCCCCAACACCTGGAGCACCTACTTAGGATGGCTGCAGGCTCTCCATGGCATTTCGCCACCTAGTGAGCTTTTCAAGGTGTTCAATCTGTCAAGTGCCCCATTCCCAGGAATTAGGCTCCCCCCAGAAAACGCCACTTTTCAGGAAATGCTCCTTGGCTGCACCTGATCCTAAAGGGTTCCACCGACTCAGCCGGTGGCGCTGTGGCCACACTGCAGAGCAGCATGGTGGGGGCCTGGGGGCTGCTGTCTTCCCCTCCCACCCCCTTTCCCTGCCGACTGGGCTGAGCCTCACACTGCCAACAGGTGCAAACCTTGCAGGCGCCTCTGGACGCAGGATGGGCAGATGTGACGCTGACCTTCCGTTCCTGGCCAGCTGCCCCTTTCTGAGTGAAAGAACTGACGCCAGTGCTGGGATTTACTTTTTTAATTGAAACAAGTGAATCAGACAATTTACAGGAATTGTACAAAATTAACAGCCTGGACCCGAGTGACACATGCACATTCACCTCCTTCCACAAAGGCCCTGGGCCTGGGCCTGATGGGGAGGGAAGGGTCCTGCACACGGACTGTCCGGGCTTCTTTCCCCTCCTGCTGTTCCCAACCCTTCACAAAGGAGGCAGCTCTTTGGAAACTTCCACTTATCAAAAAAGTATATGAACCAGACACGGGGGCCTCGCTAAGTTAAAGAGCGCTTTTGGCACTGCTCAGAGTGGCACCCCTCCCAGCTCTACAGATCACAGGCTGGAGGGGAAAAGCACAGAAAACACCAGTCTCATTCTAGAAACATTCACACACACTTTACACTACTCGCTCAATAAAATCCTGAATGGCTTCTCTGTCTTTGGTGGCAGGGACACGAAGGGTACACTCTCACCTCTGACTAACAGTCACATTAGAAAAAGCCTGTTACAAAAAGAAAAAGGAAGTAAAATGCCTTTTTATCTTCATCTAGTTTTCCAGAGGATGGCTAAGTAGATTTCGACAGTGGCTGGGGTTTCACTTTGTTCCTGTGCTTCTCACCCCACGCCCACTTGGCGATGAACCCCGTGGCTACGCACCGGAAACAGGCTCCAAGCAGCGTCCCCTTCTGTCCAGAGCCAGCCACCTCACCGGGCGAAGGAGCTCAAACGCGTCATCCAGCAGCTCCCTGCCCTGTCACCTGCACCAGGACAGGGTTCCCACAAGGGGGGGGCACTTACTGCTCCACTTGCCTCCTGCGGTAGTTGCTGTAGGCCTCCTCAAACATGGCTTTGCAGGGGAACCGGGCCTTCAGTTTGGAGCAGATGAGGAAGGAGCCCCCCATCTTCCTGTGCAGGGAGTAGGTCTCCTCGGGGGGCGGGACGAGCCGGTGCTTCAGCATGACAGGGATCAAGTTGTGGATCTTCTCCGTGGTGCTCTGGGTGCCGAAGTCAAAGGGCTCCTCAGAGGCAAAGGCCTCCCCCAGGATGAGGATGGCGTCCAAGTGGGCGTCTTCCATGGCCTGAAGAAGAGAAGAGTGGCCACAAGATGGCAGCCAGCCCGGGGCTCTCATGGGCCCCTGCACAAGCTCTTACTGAAGCTGTTTTGAAGCTGAGGAGACACAGGGTCAGGCTGGCGAGCATCCCACTTCTCAGATCAAGGAAGGTACAGGAGCATGAACTCAAACCAAGAAAACACTAATGTGTGAAACAAAGGGGAGTGGAGGGGCCTATGGCAGCATGCAGGTCCCTGAGCCATGCCTATAGGCTCAGATTCCAAGTGCTCAGGAAATGCTCTTAAGGCCACGAAGAGCAGCATACACATGCCCAGGCTGAGCCTCTGCACTCCTAACAGGACGGAAACCAAGGAGACCCAGGTCCCTCAGCTCTTCCCCAACATCAAGGACAGGAAGCACTTTCAGTGGCGCCTGCCTGGTGATGGGACACAGACTGCAGTCACTTTGTTAAATGGGCTGGGGCTTCACCATCCCACACAGCCTCGGCAAAGCCCCGCACAGCCGCGTGGATGCACCCAGTGGCCCTATTGCCATGTGGCAGAGTGAGGCCTCACAACAAGCCCCAGCCACCCCACACCCACAGCCCCAGAAACCCCACCAGCACCCTGACTGCCTGAGCACGGAGACCACACAGGGCTGGCTTTTGGCCTGTGCCAAAAGTGGCCCAGCCTCTGGGGAGGCCCCTCAAGGGCAGCTCCACCTCTGAGTCCATCCTCTACAAACTGAGGCTCTGCTTAAGTTCCAGAGGAAGCAGTGGCCACTGCCCGCCCTCCTGATATGGCACGGTTGGCCTGTGGGACAGACGGTCAGCCTGGCATTGGAGCCTGGCAGGCTCACCTTGACCTCGTAGCCAGTGAGGAACTTCATCTCTATGGACTTCTTCAGCACGGCCTCCCTGTCCCTGTCGGCAGCAGCCCTGATGATCTGGGGGGCATGGGAGGGCACTGTGGGCGGAGCTTCCCAGGCTCAGGGAGCTGCAGAGGCCAACCACCAGCCTGTCCCACTTCTGCCTGTTACTCCTCTGCAAGACCGCTGGCTAGGAGGCCCAGCCAGTGCCCTGAGCCTGACAGGGCTGTAGCCTACCATGGTCACCAGGAGGGACAGAGGACAGGACCCAGTCATTCTGCCCCCACCCCTCAACATCCTGTCCTATCCTAAGGAAAGCACAGGCCACAACCAAGCCCCTGCCCCACACTACCTGAATGTAGAGGTCAGTGAAGGACCTGTCATATTCCCGAGTCGCCCCAAAGTCCAGAAGGGCCACCTGGGAAGGGCAACAGCACAGGGGAGTTGGTGCTGGCAGAGCACAGGGCTGGACACTGGCGCTCGGGCCTGGGCAGCCAGCTCACCTTGTGCTGCTGTGGGTCATAGAAGAAGTTGGACCAGTTGGGGTCTGTCTGCATGAAGTGGAACTCGAAGAGCTCCCGGAGGCACAGGACCAGGATGTTAGAGCAGATCTGAGTGGCAGGGAGGCCCGTCACAGCAGCACCAGGCTGCCTGCCAGCCATGCCTGGCTCTGACCCGGGAGGGGACGTGAAGCCCAGCTAGACCCACAGGCCCCCAGCTTCCCCGCCCAGGAGTGCCTGTGGGCGCCACGGCACACATACCTCGTTTCGGATCTCCTGGCTCAGCCCCTCAGCCTGGTCCAGGGGGAAGCCAGACACCAGCTCTGTGGTCAGCACGTGGGGGCTGCAGAGCTCGTCCACAATCTCAGGCACATAGAAGAAGGGGTGATCCTTCAGCAGCTCCCTGGTGGGGGGTGGGAGGTCACATGCTGGCCACAGATCCCCTCCCTCCACTCTGGGGACACACAGGGCACTGAGGGATTGAGCAGCTGCCCCCCCACCACAGCCACCTGCTCCCCAGAGTCCAAAGGGCCTTCACCCTTGACAAGCTGCCTGCCATGGCCCCTTCTGTCTCCCCAGTGAGAACAGCAGGCAAGGAGCCCCCATCCCACCACTGGGCACAGGAGCCCGGTAGGAGCCACACCTGAACTTCCTGGCACAGGTGGCCTCTCGCTGATAGTCACACTCGAGGGCCAGCTCCCGCCTCAGCACGTCAATCAGGTGCTCGGGGAACAGGCCTGGAGGAGAAGAGGGCACCAAGGTGGGCTGGGGACTCCCAGAGTCCATCCCAAATGCCTGCCCTTGCCCAGCAGCCAGCCTCAGACCTTCCGGAAGCATGTTGCTCATGTTCAGCACAGCCATGAGGTTGTTGACGTCACTGTTGATGCTCTGGGCCACACCAGGGTACTGCAGGGGGCAGAGGGGTCCTGAGGGGTACATACCACCCAGACCCCACACTTCGGGTGTGCCAGTAACCCTGGGCCCATCATGACCTTGTTCACCAGCATCCACCTGCCCTTCCCGACCCCAGTCCCCAGGGATAGCCACCCAGTCAGCCCAGCTTGGCCCAAAGCAGGCAGCACCTAGCCCTGGCCCTGCCCCACCCAAACCAAACCCGTGGGCAGGTGGCTCCCCACTCAGCAGACCCTCCCGCACAGAGCTGGCCAGACGTGGGACAGAAACAGGAGACACGTGCCCTGTCCTAGGCGAGGAGGGCCCCTCAGCAGGGCCCCGACCAGGCACATACCGGGCGCCTACCTGGATCTTCATGGCCACCTCGCGACCGCCCTTCATGCGGGCCAGGTGCACCTGCCCAATGGAGGCAGCTGCGAAGGGCCGTTCCTCGAAGTACTCCAGCTTGTCCCGCCAGTTGGGGCCCAGGTCATTGCTAAGCGTTTTCTGGGGGAGGCCGAGGAGAGGCTGTAAGCACAGCCTGGCCACCAGGGTGCCCCAAGAACCATTTCCATCCCCTCCCACGGGGCCCCCGCCGCTGCCCACATGGAGAAGGGGGCTGGGAGGACCCAGGTGCCCCAGGCACCGCCTGCCTCACCGTCATCTGTTTCAGCGGCATGAAGTCAGCGCTCTGCCTCACCCGCTCAAAAATCTTGGCCAGGTGGGGGTTGATGAAAGCATCATCTGGAAAAAACCAGGAGAGTCAGAGCAGAGGGCTAAGCCCACAGACAGAAGGAGCACAGGAACAGCATGGCCACCCTGGGAGGGAGGCCAAGATGCTCCTCTGCCCTCACACACTCTGGAAGCGAGGCTGAGATGCCAAGGCACAGCCTGGCGCTGCCCAGCCTCATTCCTACTCCGGGTCTGGGAGCAGTCCCCACCGGGCACCAGCCCCCGAGGGCACAGGGAGCCCGAGTGCACACACCTGGGCGCCCGCGCCCAGCCCATCGTGCCCCTCACGCTAGTGCCTGCCGGAGGGAGGCAACACGGGGCAGCCTGGGCCCCGGCTCCTTGCGCTCCCCCAACAACCAGAGAAGGTGGGCTTCTTAGAAATAACAGGTGTTGAAACAAATTTAGGAAATCAGGTGCAGTTAAAGTTAAAAATGCCCACAATCTGACCACCTGCAGAGAATGAACCTTTCCTGGGCCTTTCCCTGCACTCACAGGTCCAGCCTGCTTCCCTCACCGGCAGCTGCTCATGGCACTTCCCAGGCTGTCAGGTGGCTTTCTGGAATGCCGAGCTGGCCCTACTACAAGAAGGCATGTACCCTGTACAGAAGCTTCCACCCGCAGCCACTCACCTGACCACTGCTCACTTGCTTTTGCTTGTTTGTGACTTTGGGGTGCCTTTGATGGAGCTGCTTGAGCAGAGCACCACGGCGGCCCTGCTCCTCTCATGGGACCACACTGAGCCACCGCCCGCTCAGCCACTGCTGCCTTCCCCAGCCTCCTGCCATGGGCCGGGTGCCCCACGACCCCAAGCATCATGCTGCAGCAGGCCTGTGAGGTGTCGCAGCAGTGCGCCTCAACCAACAGGGCATGGGGGCGGCAGCAACCAGACTCTCGCCCACTTCTGAGACGCCAGGACAATCTCTGAATGTCTAAGAACACCCAGAAAAACACTGAGGGCTCCTACTTCAGATGCTGTATTTATATACCCTGGTGGACAATGGACAGGACTCAAGCAAGAGGAGCCAGTGGGCAGAAGCCCCTGGTGCCCCATCCCAAGTGGGGCCCGCGCCTGCTGCCGCCCTGGGAGCTGCAGCCTAGCCCACTCACCCTGGATGCTCAGCATCTGGCCCAGCTTGAGCGCCGCCCCGCGCACCTTGCACAGCGTCCTCACAATGCGCTCTGCATTCGCTTCAGACAGGAAGGGACTGGAATCCAGCACTGCCTTCTTCCCTGTGGGCAGGAGCAAGGTCACCATGGCACCATCCCTCCCTTCTCAAGAGTATCTGCAGGCCTCGCCCAGCCCCATGAGCCACACAAGGGAAGAGGAGGAAGGGGGGCAGCTGGTGGAGCCCCTGGAACAGCCGGGGCTGAAGCTCCTCCTCTACCCAGTGCAGGGGTCCAGGGAGCCTGAGGGCAGCCCAGCATCCGCCCAGTCACTCAAAGGACCTGCAGGAAGGCTGAATTCTGCTGCACCAGCCATGGGGCCAATAGCAGCCCCTCCCTGCTTCAGTCCCCTCCTAACCTCAGGGAGGTCCTAACGTACTGCAGCTTCCCTGGCTGGGTGGGCATGCCTGCTGGGGGCCTCTGTCCCCCTGAGCTCCTCCCACACCCGCCTGGCTGGGCCTCCAGCCCTGTAGCCCTGGGGCTTTTCCTGCCCACTGTTCAGATGCCCCTGAGGGCTGCTCCCGACTGTGCCTGGAACTTTCCTCAGCCTGCATCACTCCAGGCTGGCCCTGCATTCGGGGTACTGAGCCGGGACCCCAGGGAGGGAACAGGAGAGGTAACTGGATTGTGACTGCCCTCTGCCCCAGGGCTGTGTCACCTGGCCCAACAGCAGGGCCGGAGAGTGTAGTGGGGACCTGAAGGCCCTGGGTCATCAGTTTGCAGGGAAAGCCCTGGAGAGAACCCTGGGGCCGCCCACATAGGGCATGTTAGGCTCACACAGGGGTCCCAGATGGAAAGAGATTATAGCTCCACAGCCAGGGCCACTCCAGGGTGGCTGGGCTCAGAAGGGTCCCCAGATCACCCTCCTCTTCTTGGGCAGCAGCAGACTAGTCCAGGGAAAGGCAGCCCCCCTATGCCCACTCTGCCCCAGCCCCGTGGACGGAGGATCTAGGCCTGCGTCCCTAGGGGAAAGTTGGGAGAGGGAGGGCAGCTGGGAGAGAGGGTCCTGCCCCACCCAGGAAGATTTCCTGCCAGGTGACACCAAGAGCAGGCCTGTGCTGACCGCAATGCTCTGAGTTTTGGGGATAGCACCTGGCCCTCTTGGGGTTTCCAGGCCCCTTCCCACAGCTGCCCAGTCCCAAGAGGCTAGAGCTATGTGCCCCTCCTGGTTCTCAGAACATCCTGGGGGAGCCAGGGAGTCCCAGGGGCATGATGGGCATGTCCTCCTAGGGCAGGGATTGGCCAGGCTGGTCAGCACCCTGTAGGCAGAGGGGCTCCAGAGTATACTCAGGAAGCTGGAGCCAGCATGGGGGCTTCCCGGTTCGTGCCTGAGCCCAGGTCCTCCTCTCAGGCTGATGGCCCCAAGGCCCCTTGACTCTAAAGACGGGGTCACCACTTGCCAGACAAAGACAGCACCTGTAACCTTGGAGACAGCCTCACCTCGCCCCTGTTTGGACAAGGTGGAATGGCAAGCAGCCAGCTCCCGGGAGGCAGGCAGGCTTTGTGCTGGGGAGGGCAGTGTCTCAGCACCCACACCAAAAATACCCTTGCTAAACCCTCTCTCCAGCCCTTTCCAAAGACACACATGGTGCCCTGTGTCCCCTGAACTCAGCCTGTGGGGACAGGCTAGTGCCCTCTCTCTAGGAGGCCATGTGTCCTCATGAGAGGTTCTTATGGGTGAGAAGCTGCCCAGGGCCCCCCATCAGGACCCTGGCCCAGTCTGGCAGCCAGCGCTCCAGAAGCTGCACTGTGGGACAGTGGGGTACAACTGGGGGTCCCCACAGAAAAGGGCAGGAAGTATCAGATACTGAATGAGTTGGTGCCCCCTAACAGGGCAGGAGCAGGGGGTAACCAGCCCCAAACTTCAAATGCATTTCGAGAAATATTCCAAGCAGACAGCTCTATCCACCCTGCTCTTCGCAGCTGCCAGGACCACTCGCAGCTGCCAGGACCACACTGGGGGAGAGCCCCTGCATCCACCCAGCCCACCCTGATGCTGGACAGTCTGGAGGCGCAGACAGGCACCCCTGCAGGCAGGGAGCAAAGCCCGAGCTGTCAACCCTCCTTCCCCCACCTCCCACCTCCAGGAGCTGACAGGGCAAAGAGCACCCACAGGTCTGCTCCAGGGACACCTCAGCCCCAGCCCAGCAGGCCCAGCACCAGGCCTGCCCAGACCAACAGGTGCACAGCCCCATGCAACAGGTGCAGAGCAGGGCCAGATGGAGGCTCCTATCGTCAGAGGGTGGGTGTGCAGCCACCAGAGAGGCCCCAGGGGGGTGTGCTGAGCTGGGCCAGGACAGGGCAGAGGGACCTCAGGGCTCACCACTCCAGGAGCCCTGTTTACAGGGAAAGCAAGGTGAACAGTGCCCCCGTAGGCCAGCATTCCCAAGAACACAGGAGGGGCTGGGGGCTGACAGGCCCATCTCCTGGGGCCCACCTGTCCTGGGCAGGGCGCTGCTCACCTGAGGGGTCCTCAGAGCGGAGGCTCTTCTTGGCGACCTCAGCCAATGCTCCGAAGCCCAGACCCACGGCCAGACCTGCAAAGAGAAGGCTGAGGGCACGGGGCTGCCCACCGCTCCTCCACCCACAATGCACAGGTGGCCCCACACAGACACCCACCTCGGCTCCGTTGGGACCCTCACTGACACTCCGACATTTTCAAAAGGGAGGGAATAGGTAGGAGATACACATCTGCTGTTTTCAGAGAAGAACTGGCTCAAAGTAGGTGCTTCCCATGAAAAAGCTTCGTTTCCCCCACATGTCACTTCTGCTAATCTGCAGGCTCATTGGACAGGCTAATACACCCCCAAGATAATATACAACTCGGACCACACTGGGAGGACCCAGCAGCCACGGAATGTGGACCAGGAAGGCCAAGGATATCACGTCAACACAGGGAACCCCCTGGGAACACAGCCACCCCCTTCAAGTCTGTGTGACGAGCCCCACTACTTGGGAATTCTTGGTTCACTACAACTGGGGCACAAGGTATTAGGCACCAATAAGGTTAACAAAAAGCTGTGGCTGGTGGGAGCTAGATGTGAAGGTTGAGTGTCCCCAGGGAAGCCACGGGCACTCACAGGAGCTCACTGCGGGCAGAGGCCCCCATCCAGCCCCCATCTGCAGGCACTGACAGCCTCCAAGTGCAGTGGGGTACAAGGCCTCCCTCCCCATTTTGCAATCTTCAAAATCAAATTTCATGAACATGTCATTTGTCCAGAGGTCAGGACTCCATGATCCCAGCTGTCCAGGAGGGGCTGGGAGCCCACAGGAGCTGCTAAGACCACATGGAAAGCCGGGGGCCCAGCTCCGGCCCATTTCCTCTACTTTACACAGGGTTCTAGCTGGCAGAAAGGCAGCAGGGCACCCACAAGCAGGGCAAGAGCATGCATGGCCACAGTAGAGGAGACAGAGAAGATGCAGGGAAGACACCAGAGATGCCTGGAAGAGGCAGGTCCAGGGAGTGAGGACGCAAGGCCTGGGGATAGGGGGCAGGGCCAGGAGAGGGGCAGCAAGGCCTGGGGATAGGGGGCAGGGCCAGGAGGTGGGCAGCAAGATTTGTGGGGGAAGCAGGGCAGGGCCCGGAGAGGATGGGCAACAGAGTCCTGGGAGGGCAGGGCCTGTTTAACCAGCAAGGAAAACTACACAAGCTCCTCTCTTCCTAAGTGTCCACAGTGATTATGAATTACTTTTATAAAAAATATTATTGAATTTACTGAAAGAGTTAATGAAAAATAAATTTTAAATATCAAAAAAAGATAAGCCACAGGGGGCGGAGCCAGGATGGCAGCGTGAGTAGAGCAGTGAAAATCTCCTCCCAAAAACATATACAGCTATGAAAATATAACAAAGAAAAATCTTCCTAAAATAGAGACCACAGAACACAGGACAACATCCAGACCACATCCACACCTGCAAGAACCCGGCGCCTTGCGAAGGGGGTAAGATACAAGCCCCAGCCCGGCGGGACCCGAGCGCCCCTCCCCCCGGCTCCCGGCGGGTGGAGAGAAACCGGAGCTTTTTTTTTTTTTGGCGAGCGCTTTTTGGAAGCCTTAGAGGGACGGGCCCCCGTTGCTGGGGAGGCAGGGTGGCGGGACCGGTGAGGAGGTGCCTGGGAACGGCGCCGGAGGACAAAGAATATCCCGCGTTTCTCCCTGCGAGACCTGGGGGCGGGTGCCTGAGACCGGTGCCTGAGGACGGAGGAGGTCGCGCGTTTTTCCCCTTTTTTTTTTTTTCTCTTTTTGGCGAGCGCTTTTTGGAAGCCTTGAAGGGACGGGGACCCCAGTGCTAGGGAGGCACGGTGGCGGGACTGGTGAGCGGGTGGCTGGGACCGGCGCCTGAGGACAAAGAATATCCCCCGTTTTTCCCTGCGGGACCGGTGGGCGGGTGCCTGAGACCGGCACTTGAGGACAGAGGAAATCGCGCGTTTTTCCCCTTTTTTTTTTCTCTTTTCTGCGAGTGCTTTTTGGAAGCCTAAAAGGGACAGGGACCCCGGTGCTAGGGAGGCAGGGCGGCGGGACTGGTGAGCGGGTGCCTGGGACCGGCACCTGAGGACAAAGAATATCCCGCATTTTTCCCTGTGGGACCGGTGGGTGGGTGCCTGAGACCAGCACCTGAGGACGGAAGAAATCGCGCGTTTTTCCCCTTTTTTTTCTCTCTTTTTGCCAAGTGCTTTTTGGAAGCCTTGAAGGGACAGGGACCCCGGTGCTAGGGAGGCAGGGCGGCGGGACTGGTGAGCGGGTGCGTGGGACCAGTGCCTGAGGACCAAGAATATTGAGCGTTCCTTCCCTGCGGGACCGGTGGGTGGGTGCTTTTTGGAAGCCTTGAAAGGACAGGGACCCTGGTGCTAGGGAGACAGGGCAGCAGGACCAGTGCGCGGGTGCCTGGGACCGGCACCTGGGGAAAAAAAAAAAAAAATCGCGTGTTTTTTCTTTTTTTTTTCCTTTCTGTTCCCTCTCTCATTGTTGCTGTTGTTGTTTTGGTTTGGAGAGTGCTTTTTGGAAATCTTAAAGGGGCAGGACAGGTCACTTAGACCAGAAGCAGGGAATCTGGGGATCTCTGGGCACTCTAACCCCCTGGGCAGCAGGGAGCACAGAGGCCCCTTACGGAGATAAATAGTCTCCTGGCTGCTCCCCCTCCAACGGGGCTCCACCATTTTGGAGGAACAGCCCCAGCCAGGCCAAGCCCACAGCAACAGTGGAGATAAACCCCAAAGCAACTGGGCAGGAAGCAGAAGCCCTGTCTGCGCACAGCTGCCCAGCACAAGCCACTAGAGGTCGCTATTCTCCCAGGAAAAGGCTACAAACCAACAAGAAGGGAAGCTCTTCCAGCGGTCACTTGTACCAGCTCTGCAAACTATCTCTATCACCATGAAAAGGCAAAACTACAGGCAGACAAAGATCACAGAGACAACACCTGAGAAGGAGACAGACCTAACTAGTCCTCCTGAAAAAGAATTCAAAATAAAAATCATGAACATGCTGACAGAGATGCAGAAAAAAATGCAAGAGCAATGGGATGAGATGCAGAGAAAAATGCAAGAGCAGTGGGATGAGATGCAGAGAAAAATGCAAGAGCAGTGGGATGAAGTCCGGAAGGAGATCACAGATGTCAGGAAAGAGATCACAGAAGTGAAACAATCCCTGGAAGGATTTATAAGCAGAATGGATAAGATGCAAGAGGCCATTGAAGGAATAGAAGCCAGAGAACAGGAACGTATAGAAGCTGACATAGAGAGAGATAAAAGGATCTCCAGGAATGAAACAACACTAAGAGAAATATGTGACCAATACAAAAGGAAAAACATTCGTATTATAGGGATACCAGAAGAGGAAGAAAGAGGAAAAGGGATAGAAAGTGTCTTTGAAGAAATAATTGCTGAAAACTTCCCCAAACTGGGGGAGGAAATAATCGAACAGACCATGGAATTATACAGAACCCCCAACAGAAAGGATCCAAGGAGGACAACACCAAGACACATAATAATTAAAATGGCAAGGATCAAGGACAAGGAAAGAGTTTTAAAGGCAGCTAGAGAGAAAAAGGTCACCTATAAAGGAAAACCAATCAGGCTAACATCAGACTTCTCAACAGAAACCCTACAGGCCAGAAGAGAATGGCATGATATACTTAATGCAATGAAACAGAAGGGCCTTGAACCAAGGATACTGTATCCAGCACGACTATCATTTAAATATGATGGTGGGATCAAACAATTCCCAGACAAGCAAAAGCTGAGGGAATTTGCTTCCCACAAACCACCTCTACAGGGCATCCTACAGGGACTGCTCTAGATGGGAGCACCCCTAAAAAGAGCACAGAACAAAACACACAACATATGAAGAATGGAGGAGGAGGAATAAGAAGGGAGAGAAGAAAAGACTCTCCAGACAGTGTATATAACAGCTCAATAAGCGAGCTAAGTTAGGCAGTAAGATACTAAAGAAGCTAACCTTGAACCTTTGGTAACCACGAATCTAAAGCCTGCAATGGCAATAAGTACATATCTTTCAATAGTCACCCTAAATGTAAATGGACTTAATGCACCAATCAAAAGACATAGAGTAATAGAATGGATAAAAAAGCAAGACCCATCTATATGCTGCTTACAAGAAACTCACCTTAAACCCAAAGATAAGCATAGACTAAAAGTCAAGGGATGGAAAAACATATTTCAGGCAAACAACAGTGAGAAGAAAGCAGGGGTTGCAGTACTAATATCAGACAAAATAGACTTCAAAACAAAGAAAGTAACAAGAGATAAAGAAGGCCACTACATAATGATAAAGGGCTTAGTCCAACAAGAGGATATAACCATTCTAAATATATATGCACCCAATACAGGAGCACCAGCATATGTGAAGCAAATACTAACAGAACTAAAGAGGGAAATAGACTGCAATGCATTCATTGTAGGAGACTTCAACACACCACTCACCCCAAAGGATAGATCCACCGGGCAGAAAATAAGTAAAGACACACAGGCACTGAACAACACACTAGAACAGATGGACCTAATAGACATCTATAGAACTTTACATCCAAAAGCAACAGGATATACATTCTTCTCAAGTGCACATGGAACATTCTCCAGAATAGACCACATACTAGCTCACAAAAAGAGCCTCAGTAAATTCCACAATATTGAAATTCTACCAACCAATTTTTCAGACCACAAAGGTATGAAAGTAGAAATAAATTCTACAAAGAAAACAAAAAGGCTCACAAACACATGGAGGCTTAACAACATGCTACTAAATAATCAATGGATCAATGAACAAATCAAAATAGAGATCAAGGAATATATAGAAACAAATGACAACAACAACACTAAGCCCCAACTTCTGTGGGATGCAGCGAAAGCAGTCTTAAGAGGAAAGTATATAGCAATCCAGGCACACTTGAAGAAGGAAGAACAATCCCAAATGAATAGTCTAACATCACAATTATTAAAACTGGAAAAAGAAGAACAAATGAGGCCTAAAGTCAGCAGAAGGAGGGACATAATAAAGATCAGAGAAGAAATAAACAAAATTGA